CCGGGATCGGGAATCAAAGGAATGGGATATAAGTTCGCCTCTATGGCACCCCACGTTTATATAAGGGAAACGGAACACCCAATAATCGAGATTAAAACGCTCTATTGGCACCCACGTTTATAAGGGAAACGGTAACACCAATAAATCGAGGCAAAGAACAAGATAAACGCCACAACGAAGTGATAAGTTTTTACCTTAATTCTTGATGCAATTAGAGAATAGCAAATTCTCACAATCACTCTAATTAAGAAGAACATGCAAGAGCATGAACAATTCTGCCTTTGATTCAAATTATGCCAAAAATCTCGTTTTACATATTAAGGAGGCTATTTATATGCCTTAAACAAACATAACCCTAAAGAAGAGCATCTAACTAGGCTGCCCTAGGGCCAAAACACAGGGGCTTAACTCTAAAACACAAAATAAAGTCATTTCCAGCCCAAAACAAACAACTTGATATTGGGCAGATTGCATGCATCATAAAACCAACCCAAAACAAAACAACTTAAATAAACACTATGAGCCCATATCCCTTACATATTTAATTAGACCAAAACAAGCCAAGTCACAAGGACTAAGAAACACATCCCAAGCCACTAGGAAGCACCAATGGATCCATATCATTCGCCCCTCTTCCTCAAAAAAGATTCGTCCTCGAATTTTAGTTAAAAGTTGAGTTCCTTTTGCTTGCCTAGGATAAGTCCACTTCTCCTTAGAACCATGCCCTTTTTTCTTTACTCTTCTTCTCCTTTTTTTAGACCATATGGAACTCCATTGTTTGCTTACAACCTGAATATGGCCTTTTGCACACCTTGTGTCTCCATTGGATTACTTCTAGCTGACTGGTTGATTTTGGAATGGTGGAGCAAGAATGTAGAGATCGGATTTGATGTTCTTATCCCTCTCAAAAGTGGCCGATCCACTCAGGCAACTCTTCAAGAAAGACATCAGTTGAACCCTCTTCTCTCTCTCAAGCAAACTTTTTCTATCAATATTCACTTCTTGAGGTGTCCAATGGTGCAAGGAACCACCTTTCACCCTTCACATGACAGATTGTGCAATCTCTTCTGAACCACATGTTCAAAAGTCCCGCAAAGATCAACAAAAAACACACTTGGCGAAGGATGGGTTAAGATCATTAGTGGCCAAATAAGGTCCCTACACAAACGTTACAAGTATTAGGCTGATGTGTACAAAAGCATGTGTATCCTTACTGCTCTAGCTATCAAAACGCTATCAAACTCACATTCTTTTCTTTTTCTTTTCCCTCTTTCTTTTTATATGTACTATGTGTATTTCCACTCATTTTATTTTCAATCGCCTTTTCTTTCTTTTCAACATGAAGTCTCATACTTTCATTTTTACATTTATCTACATATACTTCCTTTGACCAAACTGGTGTTAGAATGGTCTTATGCTCTTCCTTTGTGGATGAATATCTGCTGAGGTAATCCACATTCTTCCTTCCCTGCACCCTTCCTAACTCATTATTCAAATCCCTAAAGTAACGATCAGGATTATCGACCTTCTTCTCTTCATGGAGTTTGAAATCTAGTTGGTGTACCACTAGGTCGAGCTCTTCTTGTATTAGAGCGTTGGGCAGCTTTAAACTCCTGCAACTCCTTTCTTATATCTTGGACGGAATTGTTGAAAGTTCTAAATTGTCCTAGGATTGACTCCATTACAAGTTTCAACTGGGGATCCTCTATTTGCCTTCCATCCCCACTATTATCTCTAGATGTGCTTGCACTCATGGTTAGTGTTCAAAATAGAAAACACGAAAACATTTGAGTTAGTGATAAAGCACTCCCTCACGTGTTTACACTCTTTAATCACTCCTTGCCTCCAGGCAAATTCCTCCAATTGTTTGTACTTCAGAATTTCAGGCCAATCCAATCAATCTCAAAAGCACGTTTTAGAACACAAAGGAAAATGAACCTTTAACAAAAGATCACGTAAGCGACAAAACTCAAGAACAAATGAATTTTGGTTAGCACAAGAACAAAAAACAATGTTTGAGCTACTTATTATTAATTAGATGCTGGCTGAACAAGCAATTACACGCCTAAACAATTATTGATATGCATTAACCGAGTAGCCACAAAAAACAAAGAAATAGAAACTAGAACTTTGAAAAGACAATTTTTGGGATCACTATTGCATGAAATTTAGTTCACTTATCAAAGCAAACCAAGATATGACCTAATTTAATTCTACCCAATCAAAAGCCAAGCAAACAAAGAAAAACCCAAATAAAAAAATTTTTTTTTTTAAAGGTACCAGTAGCAAGTTGCTTTTTGAGTTCCTGCTAGCAAGTTAACTAACTGTAGCAGACGTTTTAAGGTACTGTAGACAAGTTTGCTTCGTGAGTTCCTTGTAGCAAGTTTACTGTGAGCACACGTTTCTTGAGCTTTATATCCCTCAACTTAACCTACAATGTGACCCAAATTTATGGTGCGCGGTAAGGCTTAACAGGTATAAGTGGATGGGTTGTGTCTCCCATATTTCATTTAGTGAGGTCAATGACATTAATTATTAGGTGGTCCAACAATGAATTTTTGTGTTCTTCTCAAAGAAGTTAAGATTTCCCAAAATCAAGTCAAAATATAATAGTCTTCAATTGAATGTAGATAGGACTATCAATAAATTTCCAAGATTCAAGTCAGAAATGCCTCTAGGTTGACCCAGCCATTGTGTCTTCCAATTTCAATCTAGTAGATAAACTTTGACTTAAGTATGTAGGTTTGCCAAGCAATTTTGTGTCTTCCCAATTCACTTAAGTAAGGGGTAATGACCTAACAAAGTCTGACTTAATCTTCTTTATCAATGACCTTTTTTTTTTTTCTTTTTATATCAAGAAACCAACGCAAACAACAAAGAATATTCAAAGATAGATATTGAATTATTCAACAGAAGGGGTAAACTAGAAATGATGGCAAAACAATAAGAAGGATACAAAAGAAAAACTAGATTCAAGAGATTAAATAGATATTATCTAATCCAAAAAATCTAAAGAGAGAAATTGTTCGTAGACTCCCAATAAGATCTTGAAAGAGATAATGTCTAAACATGATCTAAGAGATAATGGCTTGATCCAACACAGATCTTAAAGAGAAAAATCCAGATCTAGAATGAACAAGTATTTAAGCGATAACATCAGAAGGAAAATCCAGCAAATAGAAAACTCAAATCTCCTAAAACTAAGATAACAGAAAGCTTACCCCAAACCTTTGATCTTGGGCTCTTGATACCAAATGATAAGGATCCGGGATCGGGAATCAAGAATTGGAGATATTAAGTTCGCCTCTATGGCCACCCACGTTTATAAGGAAAACGGAAACACAATAATCAGATTTAAAACGCTCATATGGCACGCCCACGTTTATAAGGAAACGGTAACACCAATATCGAGCAAAGAACAAGATAAACGCCACAACGAGTTTGATAAGTTTACCTTAATTCTCTTGATGGCAATGTAGAGGATATGTAAAATTCTTCACAATCTCTCTAATCAAGAAGAACATGCAAAGGCCAATGAAAAAAAAAAAAAGAAAAAAACGAACAATCTGTCTTCTTGATTCGAAATTATGCCCAACAAATCTCGTTACATCTTAGGAGGCTATTATTATCCTTAAAAACAAACATAAACCCGTAAAGAAGAGCACGGTCTAACTAAGGCATGCCCTAGGGCAGAAACACAATGGCTTAACTCTAAAACACAAAATAAAGTCATTCCAGCCCCAAAACAAACAACTAGATTATTGGGCAGATTTGCATGTGCATCATAAAACCACCCAAAACAACTTAAATTAAACCTATGAGCCCACATCCTTACATATTGATTAGACCAAACAGAAAGTCATTTCCAGCCCAAAACAAACAACTAGATATTGGGCAGATTGCATGCATCATAAAACCAACCCAAAACAACTTAAATAAACACTATGAGCCCACATCCCTTACATATTAATTAGACCAAAACAAGCAACAAAGGATAAGAACACATCCAAGCCCACTAGGAAGCACCAATGGATCCATATCAAAGGTCCTGGTGGAAACAGATTGCCTGCGACTGTTTCAAGCTGTAACTACCGATTTTGAATATTATTCCGATTGGGCACCAGTGCTAGCAGAGATTAAACAACTGCTTTCTCAAATACCATTTAGTGAATTGGTTTGGGCTAGGAGGCAAGGTAACAAGCCTGCACATACTCTTGCTCGTGTGGCATGTATATATTCTTGTTTCTGTCTATGGGACTCGACCCCCCATTGTATTGCAAATCTTATTTCTCAGGATTCATTATAAATATATGATCTTATTTGCTTTCAAAAAAAAAAAAACATCATGAAAATCTACAACTTTTAATAGTATAATAATTTTCCATAAGTTTTAAATACCTGCAAAACATACAGTATGAATGTATTATTTATATATTTGGCCAATTTACTGAAAACTTAATTATATCGAATTTCACAAAATTAAATTCATACAATTGAAAGGAATATTTTCATGAAAAGGTAAAATTCCCGATGAATGCCTCAAAATTTTATAAAAAAATCATTCACACCAAACAAAACTCCCGCTACATATTTGTAAACTGTATTTCCTTTTTCTCCAACAGCTATGTGCATGCAAACAAAAAGTCCATATAGCCGAATACAACTAGTATGAATTTGAAAACAAGACTCGGTTAGTGTTGGTATCACATGCCTGCAAACAGAAGCTGAAATGTTGTGATATCATGCGACCAAGACAGAACTCATCTCCATCTCTCCATCCATAATGCAGAGGTTCACAGGTCCGGACTTGTACAGAACACGAAGAGTTATGATCTATGAGCATGAAAATGCAAAATAAATAAAAAATACAAAACACAACAGGAATGCAACTCTGTACCCAGTCTAACCCACATCTGATCCGAAAGAGTTCGCTGAAGAAACCTACATAGTTTAATTAAAGAGTGATAATGAGAGCTAGAACCATTCTGCAGAACCAACACTTCCACCACAGGCTTCTTGTTTTATTCGTTAGCAAGTACGATAACAAAAATGGGAGAATATAACTAATTCTTTGTACATTTTCCACAATGACAGAATATATGGATATAAATAAATACAAAAGTGAAACCATAGCTTTCCTAATTTGTGAATCATTGGCGAAGAGAGAAGAAAACCTGCCTCAAAGAGTACAGCATTCAATTATGCAGAAATCAATAAGATTATCAAATTCCGCAAACTATGTCAAGGATGTAATGAAGTCTAGTCCAAGTCCCCAGCTAGAGAATTTACATATCTATCCCCCACAAAAACCCAATAAACGGCTATATACAACAAAAAGAAAGACTGGATAAAAGTGGAAATAAATTTCTTTCCCAAGATATCCCATCAACAGAAAGCAATGTCAAATGCAGAACAAAAGGCTATTTAGGGTAAAGGGCAAAGAATTTGGTTCTTAATCCACAAAAGATCAAATTCCATGAAGAAGAGGACGGCCTCAAGTTAGAGCTGTACACTTTGTACCCGTATGAAGTCTGCAGTCTCTGAATTCAGTTCCTATCCATAATCTCTGCCGGCAAGTTCAGATCAAAAAAGCCACCACCCTCCTTCCTAGCACGCTTCCGGGAAGAGCATCCACTATCATCCGAAGGTCTGTCGAGTTCTGATATACCACCTACAATGCAGTGTCAGTACTTTTTATTTTATATAAAATAGTTTCAACAACCTTTCGAAATTTCCAAGCATAAGAGCACCCCTGCACAAGGAATCATATCCAATTTGGAACTCCATGCACTAAATGCAGGGAGAAAAACTGACGTCAAGCTTCAAATTTTTAGCTTTGTCCAATTGAACCCAAAATCTTTTTCAGTCAAATCAGGACTCAACTTTTAACTTTTACCAATCAGCCCAATTTTTAACAATTAATTTTACATCGTCTACACACTCATTAAGAATCTATCACTAATTAGGAAATGTCACTAAACATTTTACCTAGATGAGCTGAGCCTGAGAGAACGAAAACAAAATCTCTTTCCTCTATTAGCTATCTTGGGAAGAAGAAAGACACGTGTTTCTCAACTATAGTTATCTCTGGAAAGAAAATTCTTAGAGAAGAAGAAATGAGAGAGAATCAGTTCTACTAGGTTTGGGGGAGAAATCTGAATGACCATTAAGTTCGCTATGGCAGTACTGCAGACACACACGCACAGAGCACCAACAGTGGCAATTATTTTGTGTCTTCGAATTGAATCAGTTATCCTAAATACAACAATAACATCAAAAGAAATCCATCATACATGGGTGAGGCATAACAATATTGTGTACTTTTGGATGAGGTTTTAAATTTCTAAGTTTTCCTAATGTTCCTTCATATGCATCAGTTGCTGTTAGCTCACACAAAAGTTCAGCCATAAAAAACTGAACACATTAACTAGCTTAATTATTGATTAGGTAACAATAAAGAAAAATTCTGTTGACAGGATCAGAGCAAACAAGATTCACGAGACCACCATAGATTATTCAGGATGGAACAATGTGTTCACAAATTGAGTATCTTCACTCCAGAAAGGAAACTTGCTATTTCCATCTGACACTCTGATGCAAATGTATAATACTGAATTTTATTTTATGTGAAAAAGGTGGGGCTGGGCCATGACATAAAAAGTCAGGCAATCAAGGGCACAACTTAAAAAACCAGAGGCAAGTGAAATAACAATGCTGAGCAATATGTGTGTAAAAAATCATAAGCAACAGAAATGAGAGATTGCTATGTACAGGGAACTATTTCAGGTTTAGAGCAAATTTCAGAATTCACATACCTGACCCATAGTATTCAGGGACAGGGAAGGTTCAGTTGCAGGTTGAAGCAGGGTGTATCAGGTATTACAAGGTTGCTTTGTTAATTGTATATGACAGGTATAACATACCAAATGTCAAAATTTCTTTTCTCAATCATAACACCATAAAAAAGTGCTTACCACTTGCATTGCCATCTGATGTCAGGAACTTATGAGTAGCATTCACTTTGTTGCTCCAACAAGACGAAAGTTCAGATGCCTTCTCAATGCCCTTCGACTTGTAGGGGGCTATATTATGGGTACCTAGTTGAAGAGAACCCAATAAATCGCTTTCTATGCACTCATACCTGCAGATGAGTTCATTAGTTTATGAATTTCAAAAGGCCTAAAAAACATTCAGATCAAATGTAACAGTTACACTCACATTTTCTTACATAGAGTATCGGTAACTGCAGTTAGATTGATGACCTGCATCCTTATTTCCACAACTTTATCATCAGCATACTGCTCAAAGGGCTCCTCCAGGAACTTGGAGAGTCTTTCAACATTTGACTCAAGCTGTTGTTGCTGATCCTCAAATAGATTCTGTTTAATTTCCCTTTCCTCTGTCGTCATCTCATCCTTAAACAGCTCTTCGCCAAACATATAAAAAGCAAATGGATATGAATATGAAAGAACTCGTCTTGACCTGAAAAGTCTGTGGAGTCCATTAGTTACCCAACTGAAATCTCTAAGTCTTGATTCCCTCTCTTCTGATATTGAAACCTTCTCCAGTATTGTCTCCTTAAGTTTACTTTCAAGCTTAAAGGAATCTGTATGAGCTTTATAGCGGTTATGATAGTGCATATATCGATAGAGATCTCGTTTTGCCCGTTCTGTTTTTTGCTCTCGGTCTTCTTTATAGCGTCCACAACTGTGACCAGATATTCTAGACCAAGTATGGTCTCTCCCAGTAGCTCCGCCACACAGCCAACTGTGTCAAAAGGATAAAGTGGAGGAGAAAAGCAACTATGTGAATGGAAGAAAGATATAACAGCGAAATAGCAGTTCAACCATATGAAGTCAAAGCCAGGACATACTTGAACATTGAAGAATAGTCACACTATTAACGAGGTAGCTGAAAAAAACAGCATAATACGACTCTGTGTGTGTGTGTGTGTGTGTGTGTGTGTGTGTGTTGGAGGAAGAGGAAGAGATGGGAAAGGGTGTTGAAGGATGAGGGGTAAGAAAGAAAGCGATACTTACCAAAATGCTTGACCACATATACAGCTCACAAGGTTGCAGCCACCATTCTTCTCAACTGGCTTGTGACACTTAGGACAAGGCTTTGTATGAACTGTGATCCAATTAACTGTTTCAGATTCATCTCGGCATTTCTTGCTCCAGAGCTCCCACATCAAACATGAACAAGGAGAGTGCGCTTCCGACAAGCAACCGAAACAAAACTGTAAACCACATGAACATTCTACCTCACAACATTCATCTTCTTCAATTCTTATAGCATTCCCACAGTGAGGAGTACTTGGACACCATTTAACCATTTTATTGTCCTCAATATATGATTCGAGAAGAAATCGATCAAATTTCTCTGCCAAATCAGGATGCCTTTTGCTGACTAGATTTCTGACAACAGCTTCATCACATACAGCATTACATTTGTGTGCCATGCACCGGATGCGCCTGCTCTGACCCTCATTTATTTTAACAATGAAGTGCTCTGTCCAACCTTTGAAAAGCAATATCATTATATCAAATCAATCAGTAACATCTGTTGCATTTTGGAGTAACAAGAATGTGTGTGTGTGTGTGTGTGTGTGTGTGTGTGTGTGTGTGTGTGTGTATTAAAAAGAACACTTTGATATGAAAAATCAACACAAGGTAGCCCCTACAATATGCTACCACACCACCAGTATATTTACAGCTATGTTGTTTGCATGTCATTGTGAAATGCAAATCCATCTTTTTGTACCTTTGCCTCGTAATTGTAGAATAATACCCAGAGTTCCCTTGTCCAATTTTTAAGTGCATAATATGTGCAAAATGGATACAGTAGGATAAACAGAAACCACAGAAACAAAGGTTTAAAATCCATGAGATGAATTGCTAAAGTCCCAAAATCCCAATATCAGTAAACCTCATTATACATATGTGTCTGTCCTACTTGCCTCTAGAAATGTTCACATTGCTTTCAATTGAAGGTTAAGGTCCAATAACAAACCATATTTTAAAGACATCACAAACACTATAGCCAGGCATAAAGAGAAAAGCCACCATAACTAAAGCTCACTGAGTGCTTACAATCGTTGCAATAGCAATGGCCACAGTCCATTCTGGTTGCCTTATCACCAGATATGTCCTCTATGCATATATCACATGTTATCGTAGAAGATGAAGTCAGTGGTGAATCAATATCTAGTTGCTCAACAACAGTAACACCTGCTTCAGTGAATAAGTATGATTTCCCCTTCTCTACAAACACAGCCAACAGCCTCTCAACATCCCAACGGTAATGTATCAACAAGGTCCTTGCGTGATGTTCTCTCAATGATAGCAGCTCCATTACTCTGCGCAGATCTTCCCTCTACATATTCCCCCAAGACAAACATCAGTTATTGGAGCAGAAAGGTACATATACAAGAAGAAAATTGAAACAGCTTGAGAGCTATTTTCTTTTTACCTGTGCTGCCAAGAGGGACGCCTTCGTGATTATCTGCAAAAAAGCCCAGCCATAACTTAAAAACTTAATCACTTCTCCATATCAAGTATTGAATGACTGAATTTTTAATCCCTTTTTCATATTGGTTATCCATTAACTAATATCATGCTGGGCGGAATTCCAGACTCGTTTCCATAGAAGATAAACTTTATTGAGCTAGTATTAACTGCATTTGCTGCTTAATGGATGTCTTGTTTCTCAACATGGTAAGCTGTATGTGCAACATTGCCAAATTTCTTGTAGCTGATATAAGAAAATACTATAAAATGAAAGCACAATCAAATTAAAGATACAAAGTAAGGCCCCTTTCTCGCCCCCTTCCCAAACCCCCCCAAAATAAAAAGAAATGTTAATTTCAAAACCATATCCCCCTAAATACAGCTATTCCTCAGCCACAAAGCAACAAAGCGCCAACTAGACCAAACCAAATTGACATAAAAATACAGTCTTTACAGTGAAACCACCGATAAATCCTCAAAATCAAACACAATTTTCATCCAAAAATCAAAACAAATACCTTCGTACTGGGACCCTTGGGTGGGGCCCAGCGGAAATCGGATTCCTCATTCTCAAGACCGTCGAGCGAGTCTCGGTCATCAGAGTAATAGTACTCATCGTCACTTCCTCCATAATCCTCCATCTAAACAAATGCTTATTAACAATTTTATATGTGTATATATGACACAAATTTGCGAAATTGAAATCGAGATATGAATACAAAACAACAAAATTTGTGTATAAGAGTATAGGTAAATAATAATAATAATAATAATAATAATAATAATAATAATTATGAGTGTCTAGATTCGATTATCAAATCGAATCCGGTGATCAGAGGAGTTTCCCCGGCGAGATCAAGGTTGCCGGCGAGGAGAGGGAAGAGGAAAAGGGATAGAGAGAGAAGAAGCCTATAGGCGAAGCATTGGAGAGCTTTTCCCCATTTTTTAAAGAGAGAGAGATAGAGAAAGTAACAAACGGAAATAGAAAGCTGACAAATAAATATTTTTTCATATATCTGAAAAGAAAGCAGATTGTAACAGTGTCGTTTTGGCGGTAATTATTAAACGACGACGTTTGTTTTCGGACGTGGAAAATCTCGGTCGTGGTGGTTTTGGGTCACTCCGAACTGTGGGACCCTCATTCTGTTGCTGCAGTTAATCATACGATTATAGATATAGAATTTTGTTTTTGGAAGAAGTGCACACATGACATTGATTATGATTTATTTTTAATGGCCAATGCACGGTGCTCACCTGAAATCATCCACACTGAATCAATATATATATATATATAATTAGTATCCAGTAATCCTTAACTACATCTCTATATGAAATTTTGTGAAATTATCAATTATGGTCAAATATGTCAATTTGTATATATCTTGATTATTTCTTCAATGGTTAATACTTAATATACAGCTATAAAAATATTCTCTCTTAAAAAAACAAATTCAAAATGTAAATTATCATAAAACTTATTGAACACAATATCTGAAAATCCCCATTATATTATCTAAAATATAATAAAAAAAATTTGTAGCAAATATGCAAAGGATTGACATTTTTGTAATCCAACAAAACAAAATGAAAAATGAAAGGTTGACTTCTCCAAAATATAAAGCTTTTTTAAGAAGTATTAAAATTATATTTAAATTTGAAACTGTCAAGCTGGAGTAGCTCAGTTGGTTAGAGCGTGTGGCTGTTAACCACAAGGTCGAAGGTTCAAGCCCTTCCTCTAGCGACCTCATTATTAAAGGTATAGTGGTTCATGTATGGGTTATGGGTTTTCTAAAATTTAATTAATTTTTATAATTTTATTTCTTTTTAATTATTGCTCTTCATAGACTATTAATTTTTGGTTCGCTAACCGTTGGTTTCTCCTCATGCATTATAAATTTAGATTTTAATAAATTTTTTTTTTATTATAGTATTCAACTTAATTGCATGTTATATTTAATCTAATTGTAGTATTTAATAAATTAATTAATTTTGCAATAAAAGTATGAATTTTAATTTTATACAATAACAATATTTTTATTATTTTAGTTATATAAAATACTTTGAAAGAATAAGAATCGTTAATCATCGCCATCAGTCAATCAAACTATTCAGTCTGTTCATCTAACACCTAAATAAATCATTAAAAAATTTTGAGCTTGATAAAATTTATGAGCTTAATAAAGAAAATATTAATTCTAATCTAAGAAAGGCGACCTAACATAATCCAAAGATTCGTAAGCTATTGACGATTATTCAGAAACTTATATTAAGAGATATAAATTTTCAACCATAATAATAGAGTTAGTAGTAATAAATTCTAATAAATGAAAAATAAGCAATAATTATTGTAATTAAATTATAAATATTTTTTTTGCACAAATTCTCATCACTTATATAAAATTCGTTTTGTAAATTATATGTTTTAATTAAACCCCTCAATGAATTTTCTTGCTATGTCATTGATTAACGGTATTACCTTTATAATGTGTTTTTAAAATATTACTTCCAATAATGAGCCGTCGTTCCAGAATTTATTTTCGTTTTTCTTTGCCCTGCATTTGAAATTACAAAAAAGGCCTACGTTCTTTTAAGAATTTTTACTCAGTTGAAATCCAGCTTTCTTCAAAAGCAGTTCAAAACCATTGCATACAGTCAGAAGTTAAAACAACACTAAGGAAAACCAGAAAACCTTACTTTGATATGATGATGAAAGCATTAAACCAAGAGGTCCTTATTGATAAAATTTGATCATAAATAAGTATCACCTGCTATCATGGTTAGACACATCATATGCAATGCTTGATTGCCATTACATTCGAGTTGGATATCACAAGAAAAGAAACAGCAAGTACAATTACAACTGTATTTATCGTTAATCATCATCAATGTTGGTTCGAAAAATGTAATCTTCGCCCTCTAATTCTTCTTGAAGTAGATGGATAGGTTGTACCTCAATTTTGTCACTTGACACTTTATCATTATACAATCTCTTTCCCTGAAAAATGATAATAGATCAATTTAGAATGCAAAATAGAAAATAGCTTAAAACAGGGGATGGGGATGAGCAAATTAGACTCTTCTGTTTGTTCTTCTGCTATTTCCGAGCCACAGACAAAAACCCACTTTGAATTAACACAAGAAAAGAACAAGTACAGCAAATAAATTTACAGAAACTATTATTCTAAGGAGGTCTAAATTGTCCTGCAAGAGTACATTTTCAGCGAAACACTGAGTGGGCTGCTTAATGTAGAAAACTGCCTAGTTGCCTTGCTACCACAATAAGATAGCTCAACAAGCAGGCATGATAATTAAGACACCAGTAATCTCAGTGCATACCTTCCTCAAGATATAGAAAAAATAATGGAACCCATCGCCAAAGGTATTCCACTCAACAGACCATGTGAACTCTGGAGCATTGAATAAAGGACGCCTAAAGTGTGGCTGCAGGAGATGAATTTAATAGTTACAGCAATCACGCAGGGGAAAAAAAAGAAAACCTGCCGGAATGTCTAAGAGAGAAAAGAATGAAAAGATGGACTTTTTTTTTGTCCTACCTGGCCAAAAGATATTGAGATGAAAATGCCATCTGGTTTCAGAACCCTGTGAACACCATCGAGCATTGCCTTGACCTGGGCTACAGTTGTAGGTCTTGGATTCCATGGGTCACCACTGTTAACAAACAGTACATCCTTGAAAATACAGGGAAGAAAAAATAGCATAAATAATGATGCACATATATCTTTCTAAAATAGATCATACATAAAAGTTCCAACAAAACGTAGTTATGATAAATGATAACAAAAAACTGAAAAAAGGATATCAACAAGAAAATATCAGCTTGCTTTTTGTTTACCATGGTTCCTTTCTCAATAACCACATCAAAACACTTGTCGCTAAAGGGCAGATCTAGCATGTCAGCTTCCAGCACTTTTATTTCTGATGATAAATGTGACAAGAAACAACGGTCTAAGAATCATACTACAGTTGCAAATATCTTCTTGTTATTGGACATGGACTTTGTTTCAACAATTAAGAAACCAATCACTTTTCAAAAGGCTAAGGGCACACATCCAAACAAGTCAAACACTTCTTGGTCTATAGGCAAAGAAATCCCTGGTTTCTACAGCTCATCATCTCCTCTAAATATATGTATCAAAGATAATATCATTAATGGAAAATCATTCATTATAATTAAACAGAAAACATGGCTTTTCAACTGCTTAACACACTCATTATTATTTTGTGTAATGATACCAATAGACAGCTAAGAAAACATACATACAAGAAAAACCAAATGCTAATGTATAACTTTGAATAGTCCAAAAAATACACCTTTATATCCCTTAACCGATAACCTCTGTCGCATCTTCTCCACAGCAACAGCAGATAGATCAATGCATGTTATGTCAGTAATCCCATCTTTATAAATTTCCTCACACAGCTGTGAATTCCCACAACCAAGCTCCAACACCTTCATCATTCAACTCTATTATCACTATAGCGTTATCAAAAACCCCCAACAAATGCTCAAAAAAGCTTATCAAGGATTATAGTACATTACAAACACACACATAACCAAATTGAAATGAACAACTAAATATGATTCATTGAATATTAGTTCATGCAACCATAAACGTCCTTGATTTATGATAAGAGAGAAAGAAATGGTCGGGTTAAATGCATGAGCAGAGAGAAGAGAGAGCAAGAGAGGGAGAGAGGATTTACAGAAGCGTTGGTGGTGATATGGGCTTGAATGAGATGGCGAAAGTGAGAGTAGTCCTTGAACCACTCAAAATGTTCCTCCTTTGAGAATCTATCGTTCCTACAAGAGTTAAAATCAACAATAATTACCTCAATTATCTTCACAAGAAAAAATCAAAACAATAACTATTGGTACAAAAACTGGAATTTTCATTACCAATAATTAGGATCCAGATAAGCCAGAGCAGTTGAAGGAGTTACGTTATGCTTATCACTCTCCATCCCCAGTTCTTAATTATTCCTCCTCCTTTCTTCACGCATAGCAAACAAAACCCTAAACCCTGTTCATAAGACTCGGGCTTTAGTTTCAGTACAGTAACATTAACCTTCTTGTATAATTACCGAAGCAAAAGATATCGAGACACATGAAGCCAAAAGCCCATTCAAACGGGCCAGACCATAAGTACTCGTCTTGGGAATTGTAACCCATGACTATTATGTTCTCTGTCTCTGAATGCTGTCGGTACTTGATTTTAATCTCTGTATTTGAGCAGAAACGTGCTTTATTTAAGACGATGAGTTCAACAGAGCTAAATCATATGGAAAGGTCAAGGACTCAAGGCGCTCATTCATTTTTACTCCCCATTTTACAAAAGTTGCAAAATTTGATTTTCTATTTCAAATTGCAGAAGTTGCAAGGGTGAAAAACCAAGGGAAGCTTTTTTTTTTTTTTTTTAATTAAGCCCAAAGCCGTAGGACATCAATCCCATCTAGTATCAAAACAAGCCTAAAAGCAAGAATGCCAGATGGAACTGGATCTATAAAAATCTGAAGATATATAAAATGCCCATGGAGGTTAAGATTGCCAATTTTGCTGCACAAATTTCCTATATATTGCAAAGTGAGCAAAATTGTTTAAGATGTAATAGTGCTCACGTGAAAGAACATTTGAGAAATGAAATGCAATTTTATATATTATACATTTTCATTGTCAGCACAAAATGATAAATATAAATACATAAATGTCTGCAAAAAAAAAAAAAAAAAACAGTGGAGGTTAGATATGCCCAATTTGCATGCACAAATTTCTGCTATATATCCAAAGTGAAAGCAAAATTGTTTAGATGTGTAATAGTGCTCACGTGCAAGAGCATTTGAGAAAGAAATAAAAATGCATAATTTATATATTACATTTTCTATTTTGTCTCGCTTGAGGCACAAAATGATACAATATAAAATACATAAATGTCTGCAAAAAAAAAAAAAAAAAAAGAACAGACTCCCTCAAGTCAAGCTGGGCTAGCCTCTTCATAGTTACCAGGAAAGTATGCCGAGTGAATTATGCGACACAATGTCAATGATTGACCCTTCGCTCTGAAAATGCAATTGCTTCTCTCCTCTTTTTGTTCCAGTGAAAAAAAAAAAAAAAAAGAACAGACTCCCTCAAGTCAAGTGGCTAGCCTCTTCATAAGTTACCAGGAAAGTATGCCGAGTGAATTATGCGACACAATGTCATGATTGACCCTTCGCTCTGAAAATGCATTGCTTCTCTCTCTTTTTGTTCCAGTGAGACTAGATAGTTCTTTTTCACTCTATGACCGTGGAGATGGCGAGGGCGAAGTTGGAGGCTTCATATCTTCATACCTTGTTATTGAAAGAAATAGAGAACGCTCTCAGCTGTAATGAGGTATCACAAACCATCTGAAATTACTCGTATAGGTTGGCTAGACAGTTGATCTTTAAGTAGTAAAGTCATCACACACGTCTCAGCAGAGGTTTAACTTAAATATTCTGGGATATAGTAGTGGTAGAACCGAGCTGAACCAACTAATGCTTACCTTCTACAAGTATCCATAGAAATTCAATGGAAAATGAGAAAAGCTAAGACATCAAGCTTACATGGAAAATGGTGACAGTGGCTTTGGCTTTGCTTCTGTATGTTGCTGCATATCCTCAGGTGCTGTTGGAGGCGCACTGTTTCCTGCCTTAGGTCCCCCATTCTCGGAAGATGTTGGGATTGATACCAGTGGTGCAGCAGGAATCGGAGATGTTGGGGGCTTGAGATCATCATATCTGAAAACATAATGAGCCATAAATTATAGGGAATTGAAAATGACCATCAAACAAAAATAAAGAAACCTAGCTTACATGGCATAAGGTGAAAGTGGCCTTGGCTTTGCTTCTGTATGTTGTTGCTCTTCCTCTGGGGCCAATATAGGTGCGCTGTTTCCCACCTTAGACCCTTCATCATCGGAAGATGTTGGAATCGAAATCATTGGTGCAGCAGGAGATGGAGAAGATGGGCATTCGAGATCATCATATCTGCAAACAAAACGGGTTATAAATTCTATGGATAACAAATAATAACCATCAAAGTTGACCCTGATATAAAATCTGGGACAAGAAAATCAAGAGAACAAGCATACTTCAAGGAAACCTCAGTATTCCAGAGAGTCATTCAAGCATAACTGTGTTCTTGCTGAATATTCTTTTTACAAAAATCATAATTATGATTGTTTGATAGTCAATCCAAGAAAGTAAATGCAAGAGTTTACACGAACTTACGACAAATATGAAGAACTGAGTAAAGCTAACTCGTACTATTCAAAAATTAAAATAAGGCAATCAGAAATCACTATAACTTTAGAAATTGGCACATGCTTGATATTGAAGCCAATTAACAACGTGCAATAGTTTTAGCAGAAAACTTGAGCTCAGATGTTTTTTCTAGTTGCATCTGCAATATATTCAACTGACATTATTCATTGGCAGAAATCCAGAAACTCATTATTGTGGCATCCGATAAACATTTAGTTAGCGACAATAAACACAGTTGATGTTCTCCAAGCAGAGAAGCATGTACCAGTACAAAAGTTGATTAGCTGCCTCTTCTTTTCTTTTCTTTTTCCTTTCTTTTCTTTTTTTTTTTTTCCCCTTAAAAAAAGGTTTTTGGATGATTAACGATGCTATTTTATAATGCAATACTTTGACAGATGATTTATTTCTGCAAAGTAAGGTGAAGGACTAGAAGTGAAGTCTAATGGGGGATTCTTCTGGGAAATGCTGCTAGCTGCATCATTATTGCTTCCCTTTTTTCTGGTAATTTAGCCTTTTTTAAACTGCTTGAGATTGGGCTTGGAGAGCTTGGTGGCTTAAGATCCTCATAGCTAACAACAACATATCAACTAAGTAATTAAGAAAACCATCCATGATCTACAAAGTAAGAGGAAATTACTAAAAGAATGCCTTACGCAACATTAGGAGAAAGAGGCTGTCCTATCTTCCCTTCTAATGGGGCTGGTTTTTCCTCAGAAATTCCAGTTGCTGTCCCTAATGAGCTTGTTTGAGCATCTACAGAGGCAGGCTCTGACGCTGAATCTACAGGACGGCTACTTTCTTTCTTAACACCTGGTGAAGTTGGAGTAGGAGAAGTGGGCGGCTTCAAATCAGCATAACTGTCGAGGACAATGAGGATTACTTAAATAGCATAACCGTGTGAATTGCATACGACTTGATTACAAACTAAGAGAAAACTACTAACAAATCAGCATAACTGTCGAGGACAATGAGGATTACTTAAATAGCATAACCGTGTGAATTGCATACGACTTGATTACAAACTAAGAGAAAACTACTAAATTAATAAAAGAATGTCTTACGCAACATAAGGAGAAAGAGGCTGTTCTATCTTCCTTTCTAATAGGACTGGTTTTTCCTCAGAAATTCCAGTTGGGATCCCTAATGAGCCTATTTGAGTATCTGCAGAAGCAGGCTCTGACACTGAATCTAAAGGACTGCTACTTTCTTTCTGAACACTTGGTGAAGCTGGAGTAGGAGAAGTGGGTGGCTTCAAATCAGCATAACTGTCGAGGACAATGAGAATTACTTAAATAGCACAACAGTATGAACTGCATAGGACTTGAAATAAAATAATATTTCCAAAAATAAATAATCTTATTTTCACCTTTCATTTTCAGTTCAAATATATTTTAACAGATTACTGAAATTTTTGTTCAAAGTATTCTACATTGATAAAAAGCCTATGAGCATCATTAAATGGCTACATGATACCAAGATTATGCAGCCTCAACACAAACCTTAAACTTGAAATAGCATTGCACCCAACAGAAGAAAATAATATTTCCTGTGACTTTAGCCTGCTAGAGATTAACTTTTAACAAAATGAAGTGTAGAAATATGTTGAGCTTATGATTTCTACAATCTGCCTGAACTAGTACATCTTCTTCAGTTGATGGAATCAAGTGGGAGGTGGTGGGTTTGTCTTACACATAATATGGAGAGAGTGGTCTTGTTTCTGTGGCTTTTGCTTGTTCAGTTCCCTTCTCAATAGGAGCACTTGGACTTGGAGCTTCACTTGCAACCTTCTCAGAGACTGCAGTGGCGGGCTCTTCTACTGCAACTAGTTCCTATGGACACAAGTAATTTTAGTTTAGCATCTATATCTAATCAATAGAATAGCAATTGATCTTTCATTTCTACATCTAGGTTATTAAATCTAGTCAAAACCTCCTTATGATAAGCAAGTCAATAATTGATTCATCTGAATTTGATACAAAAGTTTCAGGCAGTGGGGATTTCTTCTGTCAACCTCTTGTACTTGTATTATGTTGCCTAATTGCTTTTTACCTTTCTCATTGATGCTTCAGTTTAACACACTTATAAAATGAATATATCAGTCGTGGATTCATGGTGTTATAATAGTAGCATAACATCAGGCAGCAATTTATGTTATGACAGATGGTATTAGAGAAGTCTCCAACCCACTGTCATGCAAGGTGTGTGGTTGTTGTTAATTCTTATTCCATTCCTATCATATAGAACCATAAGAATCAAGGAATGGAAACCAACAATGATCAATGATTTAAGAAGGAACAAATTTAAAAAATCAAAGCATCAATATGCAGTTGTTTTGTCCTACTTTAACCCTTTTGTAAAGAATCATTGAATTGAAAGGATTGAGGTTTTAATATTAGGCAATTACAATCAAATACTTCCGCCAGGGAGAAGTTTGAAATGAAACCTCTCATCCCTAAGAAACTCATATGAGCTTATTAGTCGGGAAGAGTTGAAAGTCACTGGCCTCCCATTTTCAACTTTCAATTTCTTTGAAATTATTGATTATAATGTTAAAATAAAATAGGTGCGAGTACTTCATTCTTCCAGGAAAGAGTGCAAAGACCTTTGGTACAACACGTTGAGATGGTATTTTTGCTAGAAGCTCTTCCATTGGGGTCAAGGGTGCTGTTGTCTCTGCAATTACTTCCACCACTTTACAATAAGAGAGCCCACGGTTCTTAGCCATAACGGCTATTAGTTCAGCCACCTGAAAAATTTATGAATACAAATTGCTATCATAGCAAACAAAATAAATCAGTGCGACAAAAATAGAATTGCAACGACCTAATTTTTAATAAGAAGGGGAAGTCTTGGAAGACATCAAAATTAGCACTTGTCAAGTTTTGCACTTTTTCTTCAGCTTTCACTATAATTCGACCAATATATTGTATTTTAAATGAGATCATCATTCACCAATGCCCATGCATTTGTAGGATACTCTGATTTAAAACATAATATTGCAATTATAGGCCACTTAGAAACAAAGTGAGAGAGAGAGAGAGAGAGAGGAAATGTCAATGCATAACTTGTAGCTGAAAAATAGAGTACATAATGAGTAAATAACACCCATAATCTTCATCATCAAACTACAGGAGAAATCAAACAAATAAATGTGAACAACATTCAAAAGTCCTTGAGTACGAAAACAAAATATAAAATAAAATACCTGAAGATTCGACACCTGGCCACCAAATAAAGTATCTTCCTCTGATAAGGTAATATTATGTGTTTCTTTGTAAGCATCAGTAGGCCGCTCCATTCCTCCAGGTCTCACTATCTGAAGAGCACTAGAAATAATCAAGTTGAAGCTAAGATAAACAGGCATAAGGGAACCCATGTGTCCAAAAATTCACTTTAAGGTAATTCACAAAGCGCCGCTTACAGTGTAAGGCACACCACTAGCTATGAGTGCTTCTTCTGCTTGCCTCTTCCAAATTAGAACACCCCAAAACAAACTGTGGCAACAAAAGCAACGTCAACTCAATAAATCTCATCATCAGTCATCACCAACATTAATCCATATAATAATTGTGGTCTGTGGTAGATTACTGAACTTACTTTAGAATAGCTGCAGGAAATCCAACTTTGTTTGTTCCCAGTGATGAAACCATAATAAAATGTTTGACTTTCGCGGCACTTGCTGCAAACAAGAAAAAGTACTCAGCATTCTAAAACTTAGAGATTTAAGACAATTACATAGGAATTTACCTAAAAATATAATATATATCTCTTTTACCTGCATCAATGAGATTTTTGGTGGCCTGATAATCAATTCGATAAGGCCCTGTAACATCAAACACCTCTTTCTCACTAGCTCCAATGCAACATATAACTACAGATGCATTGCCTAATGCTGGTCCAATCTCATTTGGTTTCTCTAGATCACATTCCACGAGTTCAAGCTTCTCTACATCTGGGCTAAAGAACAAAGAAAACCTGTTATGTTCCAAATTTTGGAACCCTTTTAATCAAATTACAATATCTTGGCCATGTACTAAGACTGCTGCGTTTTTTAAAGAAGATCAAAACAACTAAAATTTACTACTCCAATATCTTACACTGAGATCCTTCACCATTAAGCTTCATTTGCTTAACACTCTGCAGATGACATATTCTATTAATAGATGTATAGTCTGAAATGAAAACAAAATATAATGGAATAATATAAATTTATATTTATAAGTAAAAGTAGTACCTGCACCAGACTTTGTGCTTTCTGAGCACTCCTGACTCCAGCTCTGACTTGAAACCCGAGTTTGAGAAGCTCCCTGAAAGAAAGGAAAATGGAAAATTGTTAATAACATTAATAGACCAGGCATCAATTTAAAAATTGAACATTAAAAGTGACCTCACTGTTCGCGAGCCAACTCTACCGGTAGCACCAGCAACAAATGCAAGATTATCATCTTTTACATCCACTTCCTTTGGAGTTGCCTCAACTGCACCTGAACTATATTTGGTAACACCTAACAGAAATCCATGAACATTAATTTTATAAACAAAAAAAAGGAATTTAGGACAGTGAACATATTTTAGCCTAAAAACAGGGAAAAAAATGTCTTTCTTCTGCAGATTGATTAAAGATGTTAGTGCAAATTATACTGTAATATGAAGCTATCATCTTTCATCACATGAATCTCCTAATGCTTCAGGCAACACTCACAAGTCAATCCCCTAACTTGCCTTTATGCCAGCAAAATTGTGTTTCCTATACCATCTCACTTTACAGACTTCCAAAAAAATGAATTTCTATTTACTAATTTGATAAGAACAAAAAATGTTCTATTATTTTGCCATTTAAGTGTTTGTTCATTGACCTTCTTCTCATTTCTCTTTGATAATAGAAAAAGACTTCTTTTTTAACAGTGGATGTCAAAATTATTCCTAAATGCAAATATTTTCTTCTCATTCTTATTAATTATTTTACATTATCAGGAAGCTACAGCCTCCTGCCCAAAAGCCATGTTCCCAAAAATAAAACAAATATGCATAATTCTATTCAATTGATCATTACTTAAGCAGTTAAGCCCTGTTTATTTTACAAAAACCCTACATTGCAATATTTTGTTTTGAGAAGTAAATAGAAAAACTTGCAAGTCCCGCTAAAGTTATGACTTCATTATAATTCTTGATAATATTAGAGAACTTTCCCATTACCAATTGGAATTGCATTGCCATTGTTTTACTTGTTTGTTACAGCCCAGAAAAATGATTAATTGGAGTGAGATCTTTCTACCTGTATTTGAAAAATATCAGAACTGTAGCTTAATTATACCAAAAATTTACTTAATTTATCAAAATTACCAATTCAAATGCATTGAAACCCGTGTCCTTTCCACAACGTAGGAAGATGAAGATCAAAATCAAGAGGCAAAAAGTTGATCAAATACTCAAATCATAAATACCCATGAGAAACTAACAAATAAACAAATTGGATCAAATGCAGGACAATGGGAGATTAGATTACATACCAGAGGCTTGAGCTTTGATGTCAAAAGATTTAAGCTTTCTGGCATGTGGGTATTTATTGAAACTTGGAAATCTGAGAAAATGGCCACGTACAGAAGTTTTTTCAAGGAATCCACTTCTGGTTAAGGAGGTAGGTATGGTGGTTATAGTTGATGGTTGAAGGGAGCAACTCTCCATTTTCATGGAGTCAGTTTGTTTGTGCTTAGGTTTCTAACAGAGCAACTCCCCATTATCTTTCATCCTTTTGGTGCTATTTCAGTTTGGCAGTTGTAGCTCTCCCTCCACTCCATCTGGATATGACGGGCCCCATTCCAATGTTATGTTCCATTCTTCCATTCCATTGGTGGAATTGTGGCTGTCAGAAATTTGGTTCGTTTTTAAAATTTTTTAAATTCATTTTGTTACTCCTCCATCACAAAATTATACTCCAGTATCAGGTATTTTTCACCGAGTTTAAGAATAGTTAAATTAGTTAAATTCATTTTTTCACATTTTCCATGCGTATTTATGCATTTAGCAAAAAAAAATTGAAAAAAAAAAACATGGAAAACCAAGAAAAAAATTATGAAAAGGAAGAAGATGAAGGGTCGGAAACAAAGAAAATAACAAAAACACATCCCCACGTTCAAGAAAATTGAGGGAAGCCCAATTTTAGAAGGCCCATTGGATCCATTGTTCGTGAGACAAGCCCACACTTCACTGTTTATTCTTAAAAAAAAAAAAATGTAACTGTCGTTTCATGAATCACCAAAGATGTCTAATTGCTAAAATCAGCCAAATGAACTGTCGTTTTGTACCTTCAACTATGAAACTATAAATTATGATTTATGCATCATCAAATCAACAAATTACAAACAAGTAGATTAGTTTTACAAGTGGTTTTATTTCAAAAATATGTTAGTTTCTCTTTAAAAAAAATTCTTTTAAAATTTTAAATTGAACAATTTAAGAAAGTGAATTTCATAATTATAATTCATCATTAATAATTTTAAATGAATTGAGTACCATTGACCAGTCATAATTTATTCTTTTTCTCAAACACTATTCTATCAAAAATTAATAGAAAAAAACACAACGAAATAATATTTCAATTCATTGGATATCCGAATTTATCAATAAAAAAGGAAAATTTTGATAATATTACAAATTGATTATCCTAAATTCAATTTTATCAAAACAATATATCAACATAATAATAATAATAATAATAACAGGCTGCTCCTGTTACTTTACTTTGATAACCAATTTTGAGTCACAGAAAATGAAAGAATAAAAAGTCCAATTCTGCCGAAGTAAAGGGAAGAAGAGTTGTTGAAGATAGAAGAATGACTTACCAGTAAGTAAAAGCCATCAAATTAGAAAATAGTATTTTTTTTTTTTTCCTGAAAAATGGCAAATTGGGTTCTCTTCTTACCTCACTCTTGGCACCATTCATTTTCAGTATAAAGAAAATAAATATATCATGCATATTATTATTATTATTATTATTTATATTAATTACCCAAAATTCCAAATCTCTTGGATTCCACATGCTTATTAAGTCAAGCTGGCAGAGTATTAATTTATATTATATTATATAGTCTCATTTGATGTCTCCCAATATTAGCAGCAAGAGCTTGCATTTGTTGACCAAATAATTTAATGTAGACTTGGTTGTAGAGATTAACTATTTTTTTATTCAATTCAAAACTTATTCCAACACACACACACACACAGCATGCCATTTTTTTTCATATAATATTACTTATTATTTTTAATTATTTTATAAGTAGAAATACAATTTTTGAATGTTGAATAAAATAAAATTAATAATACAATCTACGGTTAATCGGTCAAAATAGAATGCAGTTTTAAATGAATTTTATTTATAAAATTAAAGTTTAAAATTTAAAATAAAATTCCGAGCAATTATTTTAAGTATCATTTCAATTAAAATATATTTTATTTAAATATTATTTCCGTCAAATATTAATTAGTCTATGTTGATGTAAATGAGTGACAACAACATACGAAAATGACAGGAAATGTGATTCACGCGATTGGGTGGAGAGTGGAAGTGCCACATGTGAGTCTGAGAGTGTTTTATGCCAAGAATGGGTGGGCGCTTGCCACACTTCTATTTCTATGTTGTATTTGTTTGAACATTGAAGTAAATAACTTTCTATTTTCCATTTTTTTATCAGCTGAGATTGATTTTTGTTTTTTTTTTATTTTAATTACGTCATTTATATTTTTTTTATTCTAAAATGTATTTATTTCAACTTGAATTATTATTATTTTGGTCAATAAACGACATCTTTTTCTTGCAAATTTCTAAAAAATTTAAATTTGTTACTAACAATAAAAAATTCAGATAGTCCATTAGACCAGTGTATGATGATGAGCGCTAAAGCCAAAAAAGGAATTCAAATAAACACAAATTTCATGTATGCCACTCCTTTTTTTTTTTTTCCATTGAATATTTTTCCTAAAAAACTTTAATTATTGAATAAAATACAAAAATATCTTATTTAATTTATAGGTTTGAAAAATAGATATGAATTGAACTAATCTCAAAATTTTCAAGTCCGTCAAATTTCGAGCTAAGTAAAAATCTATTAAACTAAATTTTGAGTCTGGCGAGCTCGAGTTGGATTGGCTTATTATCACGATAAATTAATTTTATCAATTTTAATAATTTTTTTCCTTGATATATATAGATGGATTATTAATAATTAAAATATTTTAAAAGTATTTAGATAGCTCGCCAAATAAGACTTGGTTTACAATAATACTAAACAGAAGCAGCCACCATGTGACTCTTCTGATCTGATCTGGATTTTGGAATCACAACAATATACCAAGAAATTCGATCCTTTGTCACAAAACGACAACGCTTCCTCATTATAATAACTAACTTGCCCAAATTTAAATTAAAAAAATAAAATAAAAAAAAAAACCGGGAAAAAAACATGGAACACGCGATTATATCTATATTAATGCCCCAATAAAACCAACACCACCGGTCCACCCCCAATCGCTCGCTCTACATTTTGTTCGTCCTTTCAGCTTTCACTTCCATCTCCACCTCTCTACTGCCATGGCTATCTCTCTGCAACTCTGCCGCGTCTCCCTCCGTACCGACCTCCTCTCCCGCGAAAACCTTACTCCTCTCAATCGCCGGAAACCTTTTTCAGTTCGATGTGCCGCTGCTGCTGGCGATGAGTCATCTTCCGTTGCTATGGAGTCTGAATTTGATACTAAGGCTTTTAGGCATAATTTGACTCGAAGCAAGAATTATAATCGGAGAGGGTTTGGATACAAGGAGGAGACTCTTGAACTCATGAGCCAAGAATATACTAGTAATTTTTTTTTCTTCTTTTGGTTTTGGGATTTGGTGTTATTTTTGTGGTTGACTTACGTGGGTGTTTGGTACTTCAGGTGATATTATTAAGACTTTGAAGGAAAATGGAAATCAGTATACGTGGGGAAATATTACCGTTAAATTGGCTGAAGCTTATGGATTTTGCTGGGGGGTTGAGCGGGCTGTCCAGATTGCTTATGAAGCTAGAAAACAGTTCCCAGATGAAAATATTTGGCTTACCAATGAGGTTATTCACAATCCAACTGTCAATCAGGTATTTACATACATTTGAATTTCGAATTTCTTGGCTAATTGTTGCTTCTTGGAGTTCTTTTTTTATTTTTTAAATTTTTTTGTGCTTGGCAATAAGAATGGAAACTACTAATATTATACAATCTTACTCTTACTACTGGTAATCTTAGCTTGGGCTTTTGGATCTTGATAGGCTTGACTTTAAAGATTTTCTGTCTTTATCAATTCCATCACCAAAGCCATTTCAAAATTAGCTTTTTACTAATGCTAATGAATTCAGTATTTTTTGGATGTTTGGATATTGAGAGTTTTTGCTTATTATGAATTAAAGATGGATGATTTTTTATATCTTATTTAAAGTTCTTGAACAGATGTGTTGGTCTGCCATCTCTCTCTCCCTTTTTTTTTTCCAATATATATATAACAGTTAGTGATACTCTTGTATGCTCTTCATTGCAGCGTCTAGAAGAGATGAATGTTCAAATTATTCCTGTTGAGGAAGGGAGGAAACAGTTTGAAGTTGTGGACAGTGGTGATGTGGTGATTTTGCCTGCTTTTGGAGCTGCTGTGGAAGAGATGTTGACTTTGAGCGACAAAAAAGTGCAAATTGTTGATACAACTTGCCCTTGGGTGTCCAAGGTATCTTTGAAGAGATCGTCAACTGTTATAATCAATTTTAGTTGTTTCTTGTATATCTTTGATTTATTGCACTTCTATGTGTTTGACTATATGCTTACTTTCTAAACTTATATGAAGGTTTGGAATACCGTTGAGAAGCACAAGAAAGGAGACTACACTTCAATCATTCATGGTAAATACTCTCATGAGGAAACCGTAGCTACTGCTTCTTTTGCAGGAAAATACATTATTGTGAAGAATATGAAAGAGGTATGTCCCAAAGGCTAAAGGCCGTCATTATATTTCTCTTTTCTTTTAATATTTCAAAGTTCTTTAATGGGATTATTTATGTATTTCAATACTGTAAAGGAAATTTTGTAGACACCAAGCTTTCTGGTTCTAAGAAGTTCTTATTTTATACAGGCACAGTATGTGTGTGATTACATTCTTGGTGGTCAACTTGATGGATCTAGCTCAACGAGAGAGGCGTTTCTGGAGGTAAAGCTTTAGTTTCATGTTAACTTTAAGCTAAATATTTTGGGTTTTATGCGGAATTTTATAGGGTGAAATTTTGGCTTCCTTGCAGAAATTTAAAAATGCAGTTTCCGAGGGATTTGATCCAGATGTTGATCTGGTCAAAGTTGGTATTGCAAATCAAACTACAATGCTTAAGGGAGAAACAGAAGAGATTGGTGAGTTTTATTTATGATATATTGTTCCATCTTTAGCCGAGAATTTTCAGTTTGTTATTTTGAAACCTTTTCTTTACTAATTTCTATTTTCTAATATCTTCAGGGAAACTAGTTGAGAAAACCATGATGCGTAAATTTGGAGTGGAAAATGTTAATGATCACTTCATTAGCTTCAATACCATTTGTGATGCTACTCAAGTATGTCTTCTTTAATATCATTGTTTTAACAGTTCAATGTTCTATTTTTCATTAGAATTATGGGTAAATATTATTTTAGAGAAAATTCAACATCCTTAACTGATCCTTTTATTTTAATCTTTAGAACTCAAAATGTGTGCATTTCTTTCCCTTTTTTTTATATGAAATCGAAATTCTAGTAGTTGACAGCCTATGTTCCACACACTGAACTTGAACCTTCCCATTTTCAAGGAGACAGAAGGAAAACAAGTAACCTGAGATAGTGCAAATATTTGTATGAATCCAATTTGCAAGTTAGCTAGAAGGAAAGTTAGTTTATGCTAATTTCAACAAACATTGTTTAGTTCATCTGGTGTCATCTTCCACTAAATGGAAGCTTACTTGCCTATTTTGCAGGAGAGGCAAGATGCTATGTTTAAGTTGGTGGAGGAGAAGTTGGATCTTATTTTAGTCGTTGGTGGGTGGAACTCGAGTAATACCTCACACCTCCAAGAAATTGCAGAGCTCCGTGGAATTCCTTCATATTGGATTGATAGTGAACAGAGGATAGGCCCAGGAAACAGAATAGCTTATAAGTTGAATGTAAGTGTAGATTCTTGCACTTTCTTTTCTTCAACCGAGTTTTGATTTTTCAATTTGTCTCTCGTTAACTTGTCTTTTTTCCCCCTTTTCTAATTTTATTTTCATAGCATGGGGAGTTGGTTGTGAAAGAGAACTTCCTACCTGAAGGTCCCATTACAATTGGTGTAACATCTGGTGCCTCTACTCCGGACAAGGTAATTTATAATTTATCCATTGTTAAACATGGGATTAATTTTGTTATTGCAACTGTGTCTGACCTCGTTAAGTGCACGTAATAACATGCTTGTGAGTTTCCTCATACACAGATGATCTAACATTATTTTGTGTCTAATTCAATTTCGTATAGGTTGTTGAAGATGCCCTTGTCAAGGTATTCAACATCAAACGCGAAGAATCATTGCAAGTAGCATAAATTTAGTTTGTGGCGTATCATCAACAGTAACATTGCCAGTTAGACTGTATAACTGAGTGTATCATTAACAAGAAAGGCTCCACAAGATATGTGCTATACCATTTCATGTACTCAAATTCCTAATGTTGGTAATAGAGTGTGATTTTTAAGAGCTGGAATTTAGTGCATTGTGTTCTGGAATTTCTAACCAGGTTATTTTCCCTGGAAAAGAAACTCCGGAGTCCAACATAAGCTTGCACATATTTCACTCCTTGGATTTCTGAATAAGAGAAAATTAGTAATAGTAAATTACAAGTCATAAGAAATATCCCTGCTACCTTTTCTTATATGTATACAGCTTTTGTTTTAAAATTTTACATCGTGTCAAAATTTTACATTACTGCCTGTTTTATAACAATGGAAATGTTAATCCACTAATGTTTCCTTGTATAAATGATGAGGATACAATAATTGTTGTTGTGTCATGAATTGGCGGTGGCTGCTGTGTTTTGTCTGAAGATTGCAGTAGTTATAAAAGTGCAATAATCTATTGTTCATTAGCTGATGAAATCTTTTTTTTGTGAATTAAAGTCTGCTTTTATCACCAATATATATCAAACTCACCGAAAAAAATTGATGTTCAGTATTTGCTTGAAGAGCTGAAAAGGAACACTAGTCCATGTATCTGGTGAACAAACTAGGAGGTACAAAAAATATTCAGCCAAAACCACAAGCTGGCTACCATGTGTCGCGCACCAAGAACTCCCCATGCGCAAAGCCGCCGAGCCCGTGACACATGGTAGATGTTCCCTGCAACGAGGACGCCAAGTTGGTTCACAGGTGCCCAACTTTTTAGATAGGAGAGGCATGAACACCGTTTCAAAACGCCGATTTTAGTTTCCAAACCACCATTTTTAATTATAAAAAAAGTAAAATTCAAATCGAATCATTTGAATCGTTTTTAAACAATTTCTAAAAGGGTTTTGAAACTAAATTAATAATTTATTTTAAGCTTTTTTTTAATTTATAGCTTGAATTAGTAACAATAATTAATATTACTCTTGAAAAAAAAAATGTCTCACAAAGTCTTAAAATTTATTTTAAAAAATTATAATAAAATAAAAAAAAATTGAGAGTTTTTTTTAAAAACATGTCTTTTATGGTTTTAAATTAGAACCGTTAATTTGGATTTTCAAAAATGAAGAACCCGAAACTTTAAATATACGATTCCCGTTGCATTTTGAAATTAAGAACCATTTGACCATGGTTTGCTATCGGTTCGATTTTGATTCTGTGAAACTGAACCGTGGTCATGGCTAATCAGAACATGTTTTTGTAAACCATCATTTCCATTTCAGGGAACATCTACCATAGACACAGTAGCTAGCTAGTGATTAAGAAAGAAATTTGTGGATCAAGAAATTAGAAAAACTGCCCATTTTCTTATATTTTCTGAGTGCTGGTGGTTGGATGACCACAGCTTTTATTCATACAAGACCTCCTCTGCATTTTTCTTTTCTTTTTCAATAGACATAAGTATTACAAAGATGAGACAAAGTTAAAGTACTGTCTGTCAGCTTTAGCCAAAGTACATCGGGTGCCTCAAGTGAATTAACTGTATAACTGTTTATATATTTGGAACTACAAAATAAATTATATGAAAGCGAACCAGAAAAAATTTTGAAAAGCCATTAGGTTGTTCGATCGCCATTCATGTTAGGTTCTGATGGACTTTGCTGTTCTTGAGGTCCACCCCAGGTTTTAATGCGCTCTTCAGCTTTAGAAGCCTGCAATTATTTGGCAATTCTGTTAATCCTGCAATAAATTATTACATACTAGCAAGAATGTTCATATTTTGATTACATTTCATTACAGACTCACCAAACTTAGTCTTCGCATATTTTTGGTAAGCCATAACTTAAATTTGGAATTCGTTTGATCATATTAAAACAATATTTTATTACAGCTTACCAAACATAGCTTTAATGGAGATCATACTTACTTCTTTGAGCCAGTTAGTCCGAAGAAAGACGAGAATGAGAATGAATAGTTGAATTACATAACCAGCCAACATTCCTGTCCATATCCCCTTAACACCTAGCTTAAACTTGTATCCAAGCAAGGCACCAACAGGAAGTCCTATTATGTAGTAAGATCCAATACTAATCAAGGCAACTAAGGTCTGCCATCCTGCACCCACTGCTACTCCTGCAAAATGTCAATGCAAAAATATGTTTAGCGAGGGGCACCGTTATTGCTGAAATGTGAAAATGTAGATTTGTGATTAAGCCTCAAAAAGTTTAGGGGGCCACAATGAGAATCAACAAAAGTGAAGGGTTAAATTTATGTATTAGACGGATAAAATTTTGGTTGCAATTACCATGAAGCACAGGTAGGATGCTATTGAGGAAGATTGTTGCTGCTGTGAAGTAACCCAGATTTGATGCTTCTTTTATGACCACTGGTTTACCAGAGAACATCTTTGGAAAGTCATTCTTGGACACAATAATTATAATTGTGAATACAACTCCAATAATTAAGGATGTTAAAACAGTCACCAACACTGAAAATTTTGCTGCTTTAGGATTTCCAGCTCCAAGCTCATTCGATACTCGAACACTACAAGCAAATTAAAACTTTTAAATGTGACTGGTTAAAAGTAACAGTTAACCATAGCTCGTTCATTAGTATTGAAATCCCTTCTAGGAATATGAGATTGCATGTTCGAACATCTAGAGAGAGATAAATTAAACAAAGATGTCAAAAACCAAAATTTCCCAAATTTTTGAGAATTAAATCTGTTTCACTGTTATTTTCCAAGACTAAAGCTACTGACCTTATTGCTGCATTGAAACCAAGAGCAATCATAAGAGTCCATAGTTCCAGGTTCATGCTGCAATTTAAGAAGAAGCCTGAGATAATATATATAGGGTGTAGAAATTCTTTCCTTTTTCCTGCTAGAATAATATGATTCAAAAAATATAAAACTACTCATTGCACTTGAAAGAAAGAAATACAGTAACAAAATCCTTACCAAATGGAAATAGCATCTACTGCAATCTCTGGATTCTTTAACCATCCCACCATAAGAATCACAATCGTAAAATACCATAGCTCCAAGCTATCATCATCAAAGCAAGAAATATAAATTTGGTTACTAAAAAAATAAAATTAGAAAAAGAAAAAGAAATTTTGTGTACTAACCATAACATTACAGCAGATGCAAGTGAAAGCTTTACAAAACCAGCTAATGACGTAAAAGCTGAAAGGGAAAAACCAGTCCAGGCCTCTGGGAAAAAACCTGCGAGAACGTAAAAAGCCTGTCCTAGAACCACAAGCCACCATGAAATATTCCCTGCAATGGCAGCACCAAGCAGCCCTCGTTCCATTTTTGTCACAAGCACCCAATTCAACAACACGTGAAATAAAAGGGAAAATATTGAGATGATAGTCATAACCCAAACTTTGCTCTGTGCTTGGAGAAACTTCTGTATTGGAAAATTCATAGCATAAGCATACAATTGAGGAATAACCCATATTGAGAATTTTCCAGCAAGCTTTGAGATATTTTTGTCTTGATGAAGGAGTTGCAGTAATGGCGATGTGAAAACATAAACAGGTGTTAAAAATAAAGCTGTGACTCCAGTAATAGTCCATGATCTCTGCAAATAGATTCCAAGCATGTTCACTTGTCCAGCACCAACAGCTTGACCACATAGTGTCTCCAGAGCACTTCCCATTCCTAGCTAATACAGAGAAGATGAAATATAAAAACTCAATTAACCATTGATATGCTGATATTTTGAAAATGAACTTCATTTCAAATGAGTTTATGTTTAGATTCAATGAGTTTTTGACTCTCTGGCAATATAGTTAGTCTCTAGAAGAGCCTAAACAACTTAAAGTTATTACTTACCATTACTCCAAAGACGAAGCCTTCAATTACATTCTGAACAATAGAAACAGCAGCCAACTCTACCTCTCCTATATGGCCAACAAATGCAGAAGTAACAACTCCAATAGAAAATTGGGTTACTGCAGTTAACATAGCAGGTGTTGCAATTTCCCACATCTTCTTTGATTCATCCCAGCTTTTTTTCACTATCTTCTTTCTCTTCTCACCCATAACCTCCATCTCAAAATGCTTTTCTTGAACTGAACCTTCCCTTTCCTCCATTAGAATTGCTATTGATCTTCACCTCTGTTTATCAATTATAATGAGACAACCAAACTATACACATAAAAGAGTCGAAATTGCAAAACCAAAGGGATAAGATCTGGCTTCAAAAACAGACAGGAAATTCTTTTACTACAGGCTTTACGTGAGATGTCAGGATAGGGAAGGCAGAAAGTGTATTCTTTTTGAACTTTAGAAGCTGAAAAATATTTATACAGTCCTACTCTTTTCACTTTTTTATTATTTTATTTATTTTTTTCCCTCCCAGGTTGGTAGATCTCTATATGGTAAAGAAGGAATCACTGTCTCAAGTCCAAAGATCTATCATTCAAGAAAAAGTTAAGCAACCCATGCATTAGGTATAAAAAATAAGTAATTACTGTTGAGAATATTGACCGTAGGAAAAAATTAATCAAATCAAATTCAATTATATATTTAATATTGAGCTTATAATGAATTGGTCGTACCTTTAACACAAAATGACTTGAGCCATTTTAATTGGTTCACCCAAAATAACTTAAGCCATTTTAATTGGTTTACCCTTCACATTATATGTCATTTTTAATTAGTTATATTTATACCATGTGAGATTACCAACATACTCCAGATACTCCCTCTCAAGTGGGAGTACCCACTTGACAAGCATACGATAGCCCAATACGGTTCCATCGGGGTACGACCCTATACGGAAACTTTCCTCATGCAGGTTCGGATCTCAGGCTCTGATACCACACTGAGAATCTGGACCCTATAAGCAAATTAATCAAATCAAATTCAATTATGTATTTTATATTAAACTTATAATGAGTTTAGCTTGCCTTAAACACAAAATGACATAAACTGTTTTGGTTGGTTCGACCTTTACATTATATATCATTTTTAGTTAATTGTATTTATCCGATCCCACATACTCCAACAATTACAATCATTGATACTAAAAAATTTGATTCATTCATCTTTATTTTTTAATTCAGCATACTAAAAAACAAAAAAAAGAAAAAGAGACTAGCCGAAGTCATTTTGCATTTGAATAGGTGAGAGTCCACCGTCCAAATAAAAAAAACAAAAAGAGGAAGAAAAAGAAAGCCTAACTAAAAGAGATTAATAACAATAAGGCAAAACGGCAACCAACAAACGGCTTTTTATCCATTTTCCTGCACCAACTTTGTGTTTTAAGAAAGACTTGTTTTGGAAAAACGGTGTTACGGTGGGAACCGGGAACTCTGGTTCTCCTTGCTACTACAAACTCCTGCTAAAAAAAGAGTAGAAGAAAAGCCAAAACAGACATAAACAAATGGATGAAATGGAAATCATATAGGTGACAATCACCTACTAAATGTCCTGTACAGGTTAGCCAATTTAGCAGTAGGTGCCATTTAGCAGGTGCTTATGACTTTCATGCATTTGTTTATACTTGTTAGATCAAAATATTGACTTTGAATATCTAGAAAATGCTAACAATTTTTTAAAATAAAATCATGTCCAAAATAATAAATTTTGAAAGTAATTTTTTATTTGATTTTCCTGATTTTAGAGTTTGGTCTTTATTAAATGTCATATATGAGGTTTCAATTTAATAAAATGTCGGAAAAGAATACTTATTAAGACAATAATAAATTCGGCTAAAAAAGTTTCAATGCTATGCGTTGCAAGAGAAATTAGAAACACTAAAAGAAAAAGAAAACACTCTAAACACTAAAAAAGGAAACACCGAAAAAAAAGGAAACACAATGGAACACGAAATAGAGCAAACCATTGAACCATTAAGATGGCGATTGGTGACGGCAACTGACGACGACAGCTATAACAATGACAATAAATACGACATACACGGTATATATGGTGAATATATATATAGTGTGTTAGTAAATGTGGTGTGCATATATATATATTGCATCAATAAATACTGTAAAATCAATTAAATAAATATATAGATATATACACCAATTAATACATTGGATCAAATCAAATAAATACAGTGTATACATACATATTGTATTAATAAATAATGTAGAATTAATTAAATGCAAAATGGATATATGTACACTAATAGATTACACATTGAATTTCAGGCAATAGATGCAGATATCAATTCTCCCGAGAGGCCACAATAGAAAATTAATACAAAAATAAACACTAACATATTAAAACGCTCAAATACTAATAAGTTAATGTTAGCAATAAAAAAGGGCACAATAATAAAAGTATATTATAAATAACAATATTTTAAACTGACATTTAGTACGATATCTATTGTTTTAATACTTGCCCGAGGTACCCAAACCCACATTGTTTTAACGAGCGCATTTCCGTTTTAATGGTGCACAATAACCCGACACTGCTCGCCTTCTGAGGCAAAGGCTGGCCTTACGTTGCGGATGATCAAACCCATTACCTAGGACATATTGATTAACCCTACAAGTGCTTTTGTCACTGAACTACTCCGTTAGAGTTAGAGTTTACCTTTATTAATCAGTTGTTAGAGGATATTTTTATTACATGGAAAAGTATTTTATTGTTAAAGGTAAAAATTTTTAAAATTTCCAAAAAAAAAAGAAAAAGTAATAAAAAATAATTCCAAAAATAATATTATACCAACACCTCCTCAAACTTCTAAGATGATATGCTTCAATTTATTGAATTGAACATATAAATACATGATCTCAATCTAATAATTTTGGAAGTTTGTGACATTTAATATATAAAAATAAAAAATAATTTTAAAAAATTATAGTTGCACCTCCTCAAGCTTAAGGTGATAGGCTTAAATAGAAAATGATGCCTTATTTAAATCTAATAATTTTGGAAGTTTGTAACATTTCAACTACAGCTTGTACCAATTCAATGTAGTTGGCACCCACCCACTTAGGACTTACGACTTACGAATTAGGAGCTTGGAGTTGAAAAACACATCACCTTTGAATCCTGCCATATCATTTCAATTAGAAAACAATTTTCTAATTTGAGATTGACAATATTATGAGATGTATATCTTTTTATATATGGATAATGTCAATTTCCCCTGAATTTGAAAATAATATATAATTTATATAAAAATTAATATTTTATATAATTTATCCCCTAAATTTACATTTAAATAAAAAAACTCATTATTTAAAAAATCCAATTTTACAAAAATGAAATTTTAAATTTAAATCAAATAAAATTAAAAAATAATAGAATATTTTTATTAATTAAAAAAATATTAAAAATGAGCTTTTTGCTAATGCAAATTCAAGGAGTAAGCTTTTGCAAATTCATTCATTATTTTAAGCTTTTGCATTTCTTTAACTCTATTTAATTAGCCATTAGTTTTCTTTTACATTGAAAATTAGGAAGTCCCTTAATCCAGCAAGACATCTCCCCTCCACCTTTTTTTTTTTTTTTTATTATCCCGCTAATTTACATTTTAAATAAAAAAACTCCCATTATTTAAAAATCCAATTTACAAAAAATGAAATTTTAAAATTCTAAATCAAATAAAAAATTAAAAAATAATAGAATATTTTTATTAATTAAAAAAAATATTAAATAATGAGCTTTTGGCTAATGCAAATTCAAGGGTAAGCTTTTGCAAATTCATCATTATTTTAAAGCTTTTGGCCATTTCTTTAAAACTCCTATTTTCGGATAGACCATTAGTTTTCTTTAACATTGAAAATTAGGAAAAAGTCCCTTAAATCCACGCAATAGAACATCTCCCCCTTCCACCTTTTTTTTTTTTTTTTTAAGAAATTTGGCCTATTATAGAATCTTATTTTTATAAAAGGACTTACCCAACTCTTAGAATTATATTAAATAAGTTGAATACATTAATAATAACTATATTTAAATTTTGAATACAAATATTATAATCTAATGGTTATCTCTTATAGTAACTTTTTTAAAGAATCATATTTCAAATTCTCTTTTTTTAGTAATTTAAATAGACATTGAATGTTTAAAAAATTTATTTATCTATTTTTTATATGTTTATATAGTAATTTTGCATCTACACGCGTGGTAGGCATTCGGACTACAAAAATTATATTTGAATGTTTAAAATACTAATATGTCTTATATTTTTTTTTTTTTTAGAATTTGCCTATTATAATCTTATTTTATAAAAAGGACTTACCAACTATTAGATTATATTAAATTAAGTTGAATACATTAATAATAACTATATTTAATTTGAATACAATATTATAATCTAATGGTTATCTCTTATAGTACTTTTTTAAGAATCATATTTCATTCTCTTTTTTAGTAATTTAATAACATGAATTTTAAATTATTTTATTATTTTTATATTTAAATAATTTAATCTAACACACAGAAATTTATTTGAATGTTTAAAATACAATATTTAAATTTTATGTGCATTTGTTTTCTTTTCCATTCCAATTTTAAGGAAACCAAACAATTCCTAAAAAGTTATATACATGCATCCTTTTGAAGCTACCGACTGCAATTTCTTTTTCTTTTTTTATTCAGCACCTACTACAATTCTAATGCCACCAAACAGTTACAAAATAATTATAGGTAATGAAATAATATTCCACTATTTTTATTAGAAATAAAATATCAATTTTGAAAGAGGGATTAACAATCGACTCCTTGAGCATCTAACTAATTAAAGTCCAACCGTTAAATTGCTCTCCATTCGATATCATCGACAGAAATATAAACTGATGATCGGGATGGAAGTGGGGCGGATACCCACGAATTTTAAACTATCCATAATCGTATTCGTTTAAAATTTTACTGCTCTTATTCGTTTTCAAATCTGTTTAAATATCTATTTAAATATATGTATCTAAACTCGTTTAAAATTTTATTATTTGTATAGTCTCAAACCTGTTTAAATTACTCCTTAAACGGATAAGGTATCCGCACATTTTAAACTATCCAAACTATCCAAACCCGAACTTATTTAAAATGCATTTAAAGAAAACTATGTAGAGGAATAAGATACTTGTGGTTCCTGCATATTATTCTAATTGTAATAGATAGATGGTGCCAATGAACAAGCTTGAAATTTGCAATGACAATTTCAAATCGGTCCAGAAATTATAATGTATAATAATAACAATGATGATTATTATTAATCCAAGTAAAAGTAGATGATGATAGTATATTCAAATGAATCAATCACTTTGAATTATGAACTAAATGTGTTTAATACAAAATTGTTCGATCTGCAAGCTGAAAAACAACCTTCAATGTCAAGCTCGAGTATAAGCTCCCATCTTGCTCAAGCTACATAGCAGAGGGTAGCCGTCCTGTCTATAACCCCAGCCCTTTCATTACAAATATAAGTGTGTATATACTCGGTAATGCCAGTAACTATATATACATTCAGAAAAGGATATTCTATGAACTGTGCTCAGATGGAGCTGTCATCAATATATGAAGTTGAAGAACCGAATAAATTGGATTCGTACACTTCTTATCTCGGTTCCACCAAAAAAATTTGAATGTTAGGTGATCCTCTTTCTGTGATTCTTTAAAAACTAGTCACTTTTGATATCAAACTGCTTAGAAAGAGAAGATGCTGATTCAACTATCTCAGGAACATTATCGAGCAAGCGATTTACCTCATCTTCGAATATAGCCTTTGCTCGGTTACTCTTTCCTCCAACAATCACTGCTGTTCCATCTTGCAAAGCCCATACCTTTGATGACATAATAGAAGCGAGTGGAAATGAGACAAGTAATAACATTAAACACATTATTTCACAAGACTATAAGCATTCTGAATTGCGGAGCACTAGGATATAGACAGAAAATTAGCTATATTACTTTGTAGAGAAAATAGTATGCCAATCTCAATAAAAAGCCATTGGGTTAAGAGCCAATGGTCAAGTGCCTCTCCTCAAGGAAAAGGTCAATAGTTAAAACCCCGAAAATCATCCCAGTTTAAGAATTTTTGAGTTACTGAAAAAAACGATATAGACATAAGAGTATTCACCTGTGAGTGAGACAAGTAACTGATGCAAGTTGTGAGCATTAGAAAACCAAATCCAGCATACACAACAGGCACCCCTGGATCAGTCTGAGTAAAGACAAGGTTTAGTGCTTTGCAGATTATTATGGAATAGAAATTATAGTAGTTGCAAAAGTTTTTTGTCTTCACCTTCAGTTCAAGACCAGTACTTCCTATTGCATCTTCAATGATAATTCTTGTTCCATCTATTTCAATTGGAAGCTTAGAATTAGGTCGTCGAACTCCAACAAATTTTCCTTCTTGATCATATAGGACAATGGATTGCAGATCACGGGCAAGCATTGATCTAAAAATTCATTATATAAAAGAACAGAAATCAAGATGATGTTTGAGGGGAAAACTAACATAAAAGGTAAAGAGCATTAAGTATCAACTGCTAACCATGCCCTACAAAAAGAACATCCATCAATTGAGTCTTTATCTTGATCATAAAATCTCTACTACCTTCAGTTAACTACTTGGAAATTGTTGCAGGAAAACCTAAAATTCATATTCTTAGTGATAACAAAATGCTCTCTTGGAACCAGAAGCAGAGTTTGGTTATATGGATAAATGAAAGGAAGTGATTAACTCTATAGGCCAGCTATGAGTAGTTAAAGACAAAGAAACAAGACGTGAAACTAAAATACATACATTCCTTTGACATTAGGAGAATTAACATCCCCAACTGGTAAGAAGGTTCCAAAAAGTTTCTTGTCACCATTGACCTTCAGAGGTGCCATAGCCAAATTGAAAGGTCCTTCATCATTTTTAAGTATCTGTAAGGCAGAAAAGCTCCAGTCTGTTTGGTATATTGTGATCCCACCATAGCGTAAAGGGTTGTTTACACTTATTGTTTTCCTCAACACCTCCTTTCCATCAAGATCAAACAGTGAAAGATCACTGTAAAATTGTGACACCTACAAAGAGAAGGAAAAGAAAAAGCATAGATATACGTATTAATGTCAAGGAAGCAGAAGTAGAGAGAGGAAAAAAAAAGGAAAATATTACTGAACTAGATATTGCATGCATAAAATTCATTTTTTTTTCCTAATCTACCATTTGATTAAAGAAGTCATCTAGTTTATATATTCCTTCGCACAGATACAAAAGACAATAAACATTCACCTCTCCACTATCATAGTATTCCATGTAGAATTTGTTGACATGAACCTCTGTATTGAAAGCTTCAGTTGGAGTGGAAAGAAACCCAGATGGACCCAGTACATCACCTACGACAAAATTCAACCCCTGTGGAACAGTGACTGAGCCTCTGAAGCTGCCAGCAGCAGTAAGAGTCCCCCCTGCCATTATAAGCAACATGGCTAAATGTACTCCAATAGGAGCAAACCGACCAGCCAGACCCTTGAATGCATATAGAGATGGTCCTTTCAGGAATACCTATAATAATCAAACCAAGCATGTGAGCATAAAATGTGCATATAAGATACTAGTTCATTACAAAGAAAATTATGACCTCATATCCAGCTCCCATCAGAATAACACCCAAATCTTGAATGGATGCGCTTGGCAAAGTGTCTGAATATTCCTGCTTACGAATAGCTTCAGACGAAAGCAAAAAATTCCACCTGCATAAATCAATTGGTAAACACCTGCATGTTCCCAACTCAAGAGAAATATTTATGCTGCAAAAAATTCAGACCTTCTTGCAACCTTAACCAGAGGGATTTGCGTTGTGTAAGTGCAAGCCATAAGAGATGTTCCCAGGAGAGCCAACATTCCCAAGAACACCGGAGATGAGAACATGTGATCAAATCCAAGGGTGAGAATCCATCTCCAAGTGAAAAATCCTAACACAGGATTCTCTTCGGGAAATTTTTGGAAATAGAATTCTGGAGTCTCACCTTGATCAATGAAAGTACCTGTAGAAGCATATGAACAATATAATTCAACAAAATAGCGTGAAGAACAATTCAAGAAGCAGGTCAAGGAAGAATACTATACATGTTATGAAGAATTGGAAGCCTCTACATAGAATAAGAACATGAAAATTAGTAAAAGAATTGAAAAGTCATTGCTTAATTAAGGAAACCTTTGATCTTGAACCCCAATTTTTGCAATGGTCTATGAGCAAATTCACCATTTGGAATGAAATTATGTTTAGTTCAAAAGGCAACCTTTGAATCAAAGGCTTTACAAATATGTTCTCAAAAAATTAATGAATGGTCCCCTAGAGACTCCAATTTTCTTCATTCTATCCAAGAGAATTAATTTCTTGACCATTCTATCTAAATTTTCTTGTCTTAATTGATCCTTTTAAGGGCATAGTAAGCCCTTTTTTTTAAGAGCTGTTCCCATGACTAGTCAAATTATGCTCAAGTGGACATGCTATATGCTGCAAATAATCTTAATGCAAAACATATATAAATCACCAAATAAAAACTATTAACAAAGAATTAACCTTATAAACACCAAAATCTGAACATACCTAGAGCCATTAGAGCAGCAATAACAAACATTTCTCCAATAGCCAAGGGCAAATTAGACAAAACGGCCAAAACCCTTCTAGGCAGCCTCTTCATGAAACCCAACGGTCCACCTCCACCTCCGCTACCTCCACTTCCTGCCTTCTCCGGAACCTTCCCATCCAAGTCCCCACTCTCCTCTGATACTGGCGGAGCTGAATTTGATAGTAGAATCTTTCCTGACACATTATTGTCTTTTTTCTTGATTTCTTTAGAAGTTTTCAGTTTGCAAGTTATGGTTAAAGAAAGAGTTTTTCTATGGCAAAGACTGTGAATTTGGGGCTTTAATTTGATGAAGGTGGAGTTAATAACAGGAGGTGATTTGAGAAAATGGGTTTTAAGAAGAAATGGGGTCGAGGGTTTAGTGGGGTTTAGAGTCTCCATTAATGGATTTTTTTGAAGGTGTTCGGTTTTCAGTTGATGATAAGTGTAACGACCATAGCAGTTGGCTTATCCAGTGAAAGAATACGTAGATTTTTATTTTATTATTTTATTTTTTTGAACTGAGAAATTTTATTATTGCGGTAGCTTTTCGTGAATTTTTGTAATTTGATCAACGACCACTTGACATGTCAATATTTTGTTTGGAAAACCTTTTAGAGCTTTGTAGGAAAAATAAAAAATTGAAAACAAAAAATTTAACTATAATCATTTGTGCTTCCTTTCAAAAAAAAAAAAAAAAACTACAAGTGTTCGGTTTCAGTATGATGATAAGTGGTAACGAACCCATAGCAGTTGGATTATCCAGTGAAAGAATCACGTAAGATTTTTATTTTATTATTTTATTTTTTTTGAAAACTGAGAATTTTAATTATTGCAGGTATGCTTTTGCGTGAATTCGTTTGTAATTTGATCAACGACCAACTGACATGCTCAATATTTTTGTTTGGAACCTTTTAGAGCTTTGTAGGAAAAATAAAAATTGAAAACTAAAAATTTAACTATAATCATTTGTGCTTCCTTTCAAAAAAAAAAAAAAAAAACTACAATGATACATAGTGCTAATCTAAGATGACAAACTTCAGAATGCAATATATATTAAAGAAAATTTAATAAAAAGAGGGAGGTTAATACTCCTTTCTTAAATTATGAAATTACAAGTACTTTATTGTTTTTTTTAAAAAAAAAAAAAAAAAAACTACAATCATGTGCTAATCTAAGATGACAACTTCAGAATGCAATAATATTAAAGAAATTTAATAAAAAGAGAGGTAATACTCCTTTCTTAAATTATGAAATTACAGTACTTTATTTTTTTTCTTCTAAATTATAAATAACTTCTATTTTAAATATAATCTATATTTTCCAAATTATATTTATGGTTTTTAATAAATAATATATATTCCAACATAAATAATTTAATTGTAACTAAACAAAAATTAATATGATACATATTCATAAGAATACATAAAGGTTAAATTCCATAATATTATTTAGTTTATTCAAATAATTCTTTTACACCCCATCTATTAATAAGTCTTCAAATATGTTCAAAAATAATAATTGTAAAACATGTACATTTTTTTTATCCATCATAAAAAGAAATAAAAAAGACACCTTTTTTTTTTTAATAAAAGAAAGATATTTATTTAAAAAAAAAAAAAAAAAGGAAAAGAAAACAACTCCTTATCTTCTAGTTTTTCAAAATAACGACCACCCAAACGCCCTTTTGCAATTAGTTAACCTCCTCCCTCCAAAACCCATCCAAAGAAAAGCAAATGCTTCACTCTTTATCTCTGCAAGCTTTCTGTTCCTACACACCACCAACCCTAAAACCCCATCTCTCTCCCTCTTCAAAATCTCCCCTTTACATTAAATTCAATACAACTCACCATGAGAACCTTCGCTACCTCAAATCCATTGGTGTTATTGATTTCAACACTAAACCACACCAACTTCCATCTCCTGATGCCATAACCGAAATGCTCACCACCATAAATTTCTTCAAATCAAAAGGGTTTAAGGACACTGACTTCTCAAGACTCACTTCTATATATCCTAAGCTCTTTTCCGATAACTTTGACCGAACCGACATTGACCCAGTTTTCGAATTCTTGGCTACTGATTTACAAGCTTCACTTGAAGAATCTAGAGGTTTTATCCTTAATTGCCCTCAAATCCTCTTTTCTGATGTGGAATATTGTCTTAAGCCTACCCTTAACTACCTTAGACAATTAAAGATACAAAAAATCAATGTCCCAAGTAAATTAAATGCAAAAATTTTGAATACCCAAGTGGAGAAATTGCGTAAAAGGGTCAAATTTCTGAAGAGTTTAGGTTTTTCTCACAAGGAAGCAGAAACATTTTGTGCAAGAATTCCAGCTATATTTGGGTATAGTATTGAAAATAATTTGAGACCAAAAATTGAGTACTTACTAGTGCAGATGGAGAGAAGTACGGAGGAGTTGAAAGAATTTCCACAATATGTTGGATTTAGCTTGGAGAAAAGGATAATGCCTAGGCATTTACATTTGAAGCAGAGGAATGTTCAGATTAAGCTGAACAGAATGTTGATGTGGAGTGATCAAAGATTCTATGCAAAATGGAAATGACCATTTTGTATGCAATATCTAGGGTGAGTGTAAAAATACATCGCATTCTGTTCCATTCCATTTACCGATTTTCTTAGCAAAAGTTTTACTACCCATTGTTTTGCATCCAATGTAGAACTTCAACAAATAATGCAATTGTGCAGCAAAAAATATATCAATCAAATAAATTTCGGATTCATTTGTAGTTGCTTTCCTTTGTCTGCGAGGTATGATACACTTGCAGAATCTGATTTTAACTACTCGTTTCCTTTTTCCTCCCTTACAACTCAAGTTAGAAGTTTAGCACATTACCCGAAAGTTTCGGGCATGCCATGGACTGAGTTGTTTTCCAAATAATGGATTCACCTACAGCAAAATCAATGTTCTATTGTATATCGGCGACTGTGAATATCATGACTACCTGACTCGGTTTCCTGCACCTAATGAAGGACGAAGAAAATATTCAAGTTGTTAAGTTTCTTTTGAATCTCTTCAAGCTGTTGACCGTAATTACCAACCCTGGAAACGAGAAAAAATGAGGATGAGAATATAATTATCAACTCATTACTATAAAGAAATGAATTCTCAGTAATTTTCAGTCGTTAAAAGCCAAACGACTTGTTCATAAGTTGTTCAAGCATATTGAAAAAGATGGACAGTATTGCATCGAAATATTGCAAATGAACATCTCTCTTAAAGCAATTGTCTACTACATTTGTCATTTTAGGGTCCTATCCTTGTTAATGTCCAATGAGGGTGGTTAGTGATTTCATGTGTCCTCTTATGAATCTAATCCATTTCAAAAATTGCAGCACAATCCACAATAAAATGACAAAAGAAAATATTAACAAGGCACATTATTTACAAAGATTATTATTCCGATTGTAAACATCTATTGCACTGGAATGGAAAGCTGACATAATTGGACAAACATCATATGATGCTTTTAACATACATATAAGCAGTCAAGCAGGTATCGCTTATCTACCAAGTGTAGCATGCATTTCACAGTTAGTTTATTAAAGACACTTAGTTAAGAGGATCTAACCGATTCAATTCTGTTTTGCTAATAGTTCAATGTCAGCTCCAACTTCAGCAATCTTAGTTTCTCTAGAAGCCTTTGCTGTTTTGGCAATGTTCACAACATCGAAGTCCAATGCTATTTGTTTCACCAGACCATCAAGCATCTGCATTGGGAAAGAGAATAAAATATTTTACTGAACAACATATGAGGTAAGGTAAATCACAAGCAAAACTAAGAAATATGCAAAAATATATGTAACCAGTAGTGTATAGCCCAACAACAATAGTTCAAAGAATCTTTTTTTGTAACTGTTAATAAGAGGTCTTAATTGACTTCTTTTGTAAAATCTTAACATATTCTCGAAAAGCTGAAAAGAAGCTTTTTTAAGTCCATGACGCATCACCTCTTAGCTGATCAATATACATGAATATGCTGAGTGATGCATGCAGGTTCGATCAGGATTCTAAATAACAGAATGACGCCACCAAAGCAGGGGTTGCATGATCAACCAGCAGACAACTTAATATTTGAAGACCCAGAGGTTTTCAAACTTCATGCATCAGTGAAAATCAAATGTTTTGCTATCAAACAAGAGAAAAACAGCAAAGGATTCATTTAGAAAAAACTTTCCTACTTAATCTCTTGTAATATTTTATGAAGGAAAAGAAAAAATGCTGTTATGGTTATGTTAAGACATTATATAACAAACAGTAAAGTACTAATATGCGCTTTATAGATAGGGTTTATATGATACCAGTGATCCAATGGCAACTAAAGCTCGAAATTTTGAATCGATTTCTATACTTTCCTCTTCTGCAATCTGTGGAAAACCAAAGCCATAGAATCATATGACGGCTAAATCTATAATTAGTTCCTCTATTCCAAAAAATCACGCGGCATAAAATGACATATACAATCTCAAAGTATAAAACTGCAAAGAATATCCATTGTGAAATATTCGAAATAATCAAATAAGGCCATACCTCAAGAGCCGCTGAAAGAACTTGGGATTGACCTTCTTGATCCTTTTTTTCTACTAACAGCACAGCATAACTGTGAAGAATATATAAAGGCCCAAACGGGAAAGAAATCATTTCAATTAAAACTGGATGCAATATAACACCCTATATTGAATTGAAACACGTTTGAACACTGATGTGAATTATCATATTGGCAATCTGGAAAATTGTGAGCAGTTAAGAAAATACTTACTTGAGGATCATGGTAGAATAAGATAACTGCAAGTTCTTGTTTGGTGATGAATAACAACTTGAAAATGCATCAAGAATCTGCAAGATTAGTCAATTAATTATGAATCATTGCATTAAAATTGAAAAACTGCCATGCAAATGCAACATTCACTGACTATGATGAATTTCATGATTAATCGCAGATAGCCACAAATATAAATGCTGACAATGATCAGAATGACCAAACACAATGCAGTGAATGAAGAATCTTTGACATAAGAAAAAAGCATTATTTACCTCACCACGATGCCTTAGTAGCCAATTGTGATAGCCTGAATTCTTGAATAGATTGATTAGCACACGGATGCTGGTTAAAAGGTTTGAGGGTAGCGGAGAATTGGTTGTGACTCTCTTGATCACTTTTATTATTATATCTGACAGAACAAAAGGTCTACAGTATAAATTAAATCAAAAAATAAAAGTATCTCAACCATAACAAGGTCTTGTCATTAATTAGAAATGAATATGTTTGTGGAGTTATTTCCAGCTAGAACATAGAAAGCTGAGGTAATGAGCATCTCATCTGGCCTATCAAACAAATTCAGGGTTTCCATTAATAAATATGAATACTCCACATACAACTTACAAAAAGAAATTCAGGTGTTTTTTGTTGCAATCAAGTTTCAAACACACATTGGGAACATGTCACTTACCATTTTCATCTTCAACATGCTTGAGAACTAGACTCGCCCCATCTGGGTGTAAGACAATCATCCTCAGGATATCAATAACTGCAAAAATGGTGCAAAATCCCTAGGCGGGTGAATTTCATGAGGAGAAGCAGAATCCATTATCTAATTGACACCAATAAAACCAGATACAATAACCTTACATGAAAATTAAATGGAAGTCAATAAACAAAGCCTTTTACTTGAACAATACTATACATTAACTATTTGATTAACTGTATTTCTCCGAACATATAACTTAAGACTAAATATGCTCTTTCACCAGAATGAAAAATGGATTCATAGTAGAAAGCCAGAAACTTATCAGCTGTGTATTGGATAATCCTAGCTCAACACTGACAGCTACTGTTAATGCAACAGCAAAAGATACAATATACGCACAAAATTGTGATTAAGAAGACACAAATTAAGAGATAGAAAGCCTTAAAAATGCTGTCAGTGCGCACTGACCTGGAAATATCATTGCCACTGGCCAAGATATTAGTAATTTCAACAACAAAGATATGTCAGCATCTGCAAATTTGCTAGTATGATAATGTGAAGTGTCCTTCAAAATTTTAACAACTGCACCAATTCTGGAAATGTCAAGCTCTGACAAAGATGAGTTCTTTTGCTCCTTCAAAAACAAAGGAAGCAAGATTTTCAATAAAGTAATTATAAAAGTATGAGCCGCAGTGATTAATAGAAATTAACAGAAGTACAAGTGCAGAACATCATACTGGATCAGATAGAAGAGCGTTATTGAATTCAGTTATCTTCTTCAAGATTCCATCAAATTGTGCCACATCAAAAACTAGCATTCCTTTCTGGAAACAAAATTATCAAAGAAATGAGAACATTACCAATAAAATTTGAGGCATCCCATCTCAGCGTCATTAAAAATTTTGACCTTAATAAGGAAAAAGAAATAATCTGGAGAAAACTCTAATGCACCATGCTCATATTAGCTCCACCTGGGATCCTAAACTTTCATTTTTCATTTTTTTGTTACATCGGAAAATATATAGATCCTCATCTACTTGAATCAAGTTAGCAATTCTATGTTCTGCCTACCCTGCATAGTTCTTCCTATTTTCCTTTTAAAGTTCCAAGGCATAGTAACTAACCTCTCGGCAAATTTTCAAGAACATACAAGTTAATTCATAAAACTAATACCACTTAACTACAACAAATCTATCATTGAACTTAAACTTGATTATCATTGAACTTAAACTTGATTAAGGCTTCCCAAAGACATGGGAAATGCATTCATGTTTAAGTTGGGAAGTCCAGACAAAGAACTCAGCTTACAGAAAAGATAAACAAAATGCAAATATAGCATAAGTTACTCTATTAAATCCAGTTGACATGTATCAAAAACAAATGAACATTGTCACAATCCTTACATCAGCAGATATGCACCTCCTTATGTACCTTATTACAATTATATTCCATACAAGGAAAATATGCAAATGCATAGGATAACACAGAAAGAAAGGTTGATACATCCCAAAACTTTCTAAAAGGAGCTTTAAGGGCATACCTTTGGTATATGTTTGAAAGTAGGCTTTGATGAAACAGCTGTAGTATAAACAAGATTATATTAATTACCTATTAGAGCCATCTCATCCCTACACTACTTCAGCTAAATCCCAATGGCGGAGAAGCTAAGAAAAACTGGAAATCCGTTTTTTTTTTTCAGTCAATGGATGCATACCAGACAAGTTGGATGGCTGTCCAGGTACATAAGCACTTGCTGGATGTAAGAATGGGGACATCAATCATGTGAAGCCATGAAGGAACACAGTAATAACAAGAAACCTCAAAAACAAAACAACAGTCATATTATAGAACCAAAACAAAATAATACTTACAGCCGGTATAGGGATCACGGAAAGATGAATCAAGAGAAACACCCCTTTGTCCAGAATTTTGAAGTATGAACTCTACAATTTGTTGACGATAAGAAAGAGGAAGATTCTCTTTGAGAAGCCACTTATCAGCAGTTGCATATGGATTATCTGGAAATAATTCAGTCTGTGTTACCGATTTAATAAACAAAAAATTAAATACATAAATTATTTGCAGTAAGCAATCAAGAAAGTCATGCTCAAACATGCTAACAGATATTCTTTGAAAGTGAAAAAACATAGCAGGCATCAGAACCAAATATAGGTGCTTCATACATTCACTTTAAGTACATCACCTTCAATACTGCAGGTTGTATGCTAGATTTATAATAGAGTGGTCATGCTTTTGTTATTTGTTACCTTTTACATCCACCATCAGTTGTTCTTTTTTTGATAAGAAACAAAAACTTATAGAGAAAAAAAAAAAAAAAAAAAAAAAAAATCCACATCAGTTTGTTACTTTTTTTTGATAAGAAAACCAAAAAAACTCTATATAGAAAAAAAAAAAATAAAATAAAAAAAAAAAGGAGCGTACCCCGATCGCGAGAACCACCTCACCTTGCCTCAGAATAAAGAAGTCCCCTGCCGTGGTTGTAATTGTTCTTCTTCTTGGTACACCAATTGAAGGTTAGATAGCCAAAAGCAAACTACGAGCTAGAACCTTTCGCGTTTTTTTAAAAAAAAAAAAAAAAAAAAAAAAAGGAGAGAACACCACTGGCAGAATAAGAACCTGCCGTTAATTGTTCTTCTCTGGTACACCAATTGGAGGTAGATAGCAAAGCAAACTAGAGCTTAGAATTTTGGTTAAATGCTAACTATATTTAGAGACGCTTCCTCTTTGATGAGTGATTTCCTTAATCTTTTTCTCCTTTCCAAGAACTAAAACCAGAAAAATAACACAACTGCAAAAGGAAACTGGACCTACCTTGAAGTCACAAGCATCAAAAAAAGAAAAAGGACAAAACGGTACCTGATCTGTTGTAAGGCAACTTACGAATAGGTTCACCATCTCCAATATCAACATCAAATACTGAGATAACAAAAGTGAAATCCATCAACATTGATGTAAATATAGATGAGAAACAGTCAATACATACACATATTTTAAGGTAAATGTTGTTTCAAGTAGCCAAATGTAAAGCACTAACCATAATCATATTCGATTCCATCAAGAACAGGTCGCTTCATGCCATCATCTGGACCATCAACAACTTCACCAATCTGATAATGGAAGAAAGAGAACCATAATATGAGCAATCACACAAAATTCTCAAAAATAAGAACAAGGAAATGAAAGAATATGAAATCCAAATCCATTAAAAAGAGAATAAACCAAATTAATCTACAAACACATCTCTAGCATTTTCTTTGCTACATCAAGGTCACAAACTTCTACTCCAATATGCATGCATCCAAAATGAAAGAAGCTTCCTTCACAGTCTTAACAAGGGCATCCTTAAAAACATGAGAGAGAGTTCCCAGAGATGGAACAACAGACAGCAAATATTGCAGCAACAATCATAGAAGTTAATTTGATTACCATGCTAGATAGCGAATATGTAAATAAACATGGAAATGAAAGAATGTCCACAGCCACTGAGAATAAAATTGAAGACAAAGAAATTGAAAGATAATACTATTGAACTAAGTATTACCTTATCCCACTTCTGTTCTCTCAAATTCCATGAATATGCTACACCATTATCTCCTTCTCTAACAACTTTAGTCTGACCGTCAGTGGTTCCTGATAAAAAGATAATTAGAATATATCAAATAGTTAGTTACTCATAACAAAAATAAGGAAGAAAATTCCACACCTATCACTCACAGTGGAACACGGAACTCAGGATACTCAGGTGGAATTATCTTGCAAGCAGTATTAATTTACATATTGATTACATAAGTACCATTTTGTGATACTATAGTTCTTGTAACCAAACTTGTTAGTTCTACTCACCAATATTCATCAGCCACAGATAATAGCTTCACTATCTCAATAACAGAAAATTATGGATAATTGTTATGTCCTTAAATTAAGCTAAATATTTGCAGAGAAGGGTCCAATTAAAATCACACCTGGAATCCGTAAAGCCTCTAGCCCTGGTAAATCTTCCAATTTCAGTCCTCCAACCCTCTTCCTGATTCAAATCAAACACAAATTGCATCAGATGCTAACAAGAATTAGAGGAAAGAAGCACATGCCATAAATTTGTATATGACAAACTGCCATAAATCAAGAAATTAAGACTGAGGTAAGACAAGGGTTTGTACTTAAATCAATAAGACCATATAATGCAACAATAAACAAACTACACGCATAAATACATATATCATATACATATACTATGGATGTGTGACACCTAATATATGCAGCAAACATTAGCAAAGAATAAAAATTAAAAATACTTATTTGACTTATCCTGATTGACAATAAATTGCGGATTACAAGCCACAGATTCATAGGTATCATAACATACTGACTAAATGATCATACCTGCTTAACTTGTATTGAGAGAGTAGAGAAATATAGGATTCAAGATCTAGAGGATCAGCAATCCTGTCCTGATGTGATGTCCAGATACGTACAACTCCATCTGAACATGCTGTCACAATGTCCCCATTTTCTAAAAATTTGGCATCCCAAACACAACCAGGATGCTCTATGCTCTGAATGCAAGCTCCATCTGTACCATGGAATGATTCATTTTATTGTGATAACCACCTCAAGCACTGAAGGTTACAAACAAATTGAATAACCAGAGGCAAGAAGCAACAACCTTTCCATATCTTGGCTGAACAATCTTCACTGCCACTGACAATAAGCCCAGACACATGTGAATTGACTGAATAGACAATGGAAGTATGACCAACCATCTCCATCAATACTTCGCCAGTTAATGCCCATAACCGGATTGAACTGTAGCGATAAAATAAGAGAAAAACTATTAAAACCTACATACAAGAAAAATAAGGGCAATGTAGAATTTATTCAACATAAAAATGCAGAAACCCTGGATCTCTCCCCCCCCCCCCCCCTTCAGGCAGTATATGCCCATAACCGGATTTGAACTTGTAAGCGAGTAAAATTAATGAGAAAAACTCATTTAAAACCTACATACAGAAAAATAAGGCATATGTAGAAATTTATTTCAAATAAAATGCAGAAAACCCTGGATCTCTTCCCTCCCTGCCCCCCCTTCTCTCCTCTCTTCTTTCTCCACCCTGTTGTTAGGCGGTTTTTGATGTATCACGGCCTTCTCAAGAAACAAACATTAAATTACCTTATATTAATGATAAAGCTGAGTGGCACGCCCAGTAAAAACATATACTATTGGACAAAACTGCCTGCAATTCTGGCATTTTAAGAGAAGAACTATATGAGGACTGGTAATCCTCAAAAGTCCTCTTATCTATAATTCAGCTAAGAAATTGCGGACAAGCAAACATATACTATAACCCATCAATGTTCGATTGCAGGAAAGAAACACCCAAACCATGCATTTCTGCTAAAACCTCAATCGAACCAGTATTCTGCAGGATTCTTTTAAAGTTCTCATTATGAAAATATAAGGGCATACAAGGCCCACAAAGACCCTTAACATATCTTCCTCAGTACAGAATTAAGTTGTTGGAAGGCCAGGCAAGCTGATTACTTCGGCAATTATCTTCGTCAGTTGCTGCAAGACATATAAAGTTCTACAAAAAAATGAAAAACCTTGTCCAAACGTAAAATTCAGTTATCCCACACACCCCCCCCCCCCCCTCTTCCTCTCTTCTTTCTCCCCTTTGTTAGGTTTTGATTATAGCCTCTCAGAACAACATTAAATAACCTTAATAAGTAAGCTAGCTGGCACCAGAAAAATATCTATTGGACAAACTGCTGCATTTGGCATTTAAGAGAAGAACTATATGAGGAGGTAACCTAAAAGCCTCCTCATCTATAATTCAGCAAGGAAATGGAAGCAAATAACTAACCCATCATGTGATGCAGAAAGAACACCCAAACCATGCATTTCTGCTAAACCTCGAACAGTATCTGCAGAATTCTTAAAGTTTATTAGAAAATATAAGCATACAAGCCCACAACCTACATATTTCTCAGTACAGATTAAGTGTGAAGGCCAGCAAGTGATATCGCAATTATCTTTGTCAGTGAGACATAAAGTTCTACAAAAAAATGAAAACTTGTCCAAGTAAAATTCAGTATCCACACACCCAGAGAGAGACATGTGTAGCCTCAATTTAACAAGCTAGCCTCTAGTGTTGACCAAGATCTCCTGATAAACATAAACTTAGAAGCACTTTCATTTTTTAAGTTTTAGAGTGAATGAATCATCATCCAATGCATAGTAATCCAACTTCTAGTAAGCATTACCAATATCATCATTTTGCAGTTTTCACACAAGTATTGCCACAAGTAATATTTAATATCAACAAAAAGATATATAATCCCCATTGACGTTGATTGAAACACATCATAACATGCATTTATATGATCTAATATGTTCAAACACAAAAGCTAACATAGAGAGAAAGAGAGTGAAAGGAACTTTCAAATATATATATATAAGAGAAAATAAAAACAACAAAAAACTAAGACTATCTCATCTTATTAAGAACTGCAAGATATCCTGTCACGCCCTAAGCACTAGAAAATAGAGTTATTAAAATCATTAACCTCATCATAATAATTTCAAACAAAATCATGCCCATGCTTTAGCCACCCCTTGCAATTGGCAATGTAAAAGATTGTCAGTTGTCACACAAATAGATGAACTGTAATGCCAATATCTTACTGGAAGATCATTTCAAGATAATACACTTTGCAGGATAGATGATTGTCACACAAATAAACAAAAGAACTGTCCAATTTCTTATCTGAATATTTCACGATTATAATTATAAAGAAATACACATTGAAGCAGTAACATGGTATATTTGGAAGAAAAGCAGAAAAAAAAATATAACCTGAATGCCCTACAAAAGTGTGTACACATGTCTTTCCTCTCCAAAGTTTTAAAGTCGTGTCACTTGAACCTGCATGTTGGTAGAAAGCAGAATCAACATTGTGGGTTCACATGCAACAACAACATATCTATGTATTTGGATGATCATGTGAAGATAGTTGAGAGAAAATGGGAAAAAGAACAACATATTAACCACTTGCGCGCGGTTGAACACAAATCAATAATTTCAATTTTAATGCCAAAAAGGAAAGAAAGGGAAATCTGTCTGAGGGCTCAGGGATGGCAAGGGTGGGAAAAAGGAAATCTGAGCAGGATGAAGAGGCTGCACCACTTTCCAGGACGCCTAGTGACACATCTCTAAAGGAACAATGCTAATCTCAGCAAAGAATGTTTATTACATGTTCAGTTTTCATCTCATGAAAAAAACATTAAAATCAATATCAACCAGAACAAAGTGATAGAAGTCATTTGCTGCATAATGTGCCTTAGAAGATACGGTAGCTAGATTTTAATAATTATCCTAAAGGGGATAAGTTCATCAGACTTAAACCATAAATGGGCAACAAGCAGAAACCTGTACCTGTAACAAGCTCGCCTGATTGCAGCTTTATTACTGCCTGGATAGCTGATTTATGAGCCTCCCAGGACTCAATCTCTTGGCCCTTCCTCCATCGTCTCAAAGTACTTCATAAAGAAAGCCAAGCAGAAAGATGCCACATATTAAGTAAGAGCAGTAGAATAGTCAAAATTTTCAAACTAGTGAAACCAGGTGTCTCAACAAAAGTGAAAGATCTTTTAACAGTTGGCAGAGTTTAATTAGCAAAGAACAATTCATTTTTCACATAAAACTAAAATAAGCAAGTCCAATATGAGCAGGTAATGGATGTTCTACTTCGATGATTGAACAGAGACTGCCTGAGCATTTATTTTAATCGCTTAACCCATATGGACCTCAAATCTACTAGTATGGGCATGAGGAAGAGGTATTTGACTCTCAGGAATAGTGCTGTATTGCTGTTGGCTTTTCTGTACAAAGAGCAACAAAATGATGCAATGCTGCATGTCACAGAACTGAAATGAACATAGGGATAGAAATATCCAGGGATGTTGGAGTTAGAGTATAGGAAAAAAAAAACAAAAAACAAAAAAATTTGCACGTATACCAAATCATTCCAAAATGGACTCTTTTATCTTAACCCTAAAGTATTAGTTGTAGTGGTATCCATTTTGTCAAAATTGAAATGAAATATAACCAATTATACCAGTCATTTTTTCCAACTACTAATCTCCAATTCAACTCTACTCTACCATAGCTTTTTATTGATCTCCTCAATTACAAAACATAATGGTGAAATTTTGAACAAATGGATACAACTGCAACTATTTCTTAAAAGTTAGGCTATAACAATCTATTTAGAGAGGTTTGGGAACAATCCATTTTTCCAAAAAGATTTAGGATATTTTGATCATTAGGCCTAGAATTTATCGATCCTACTGACACTTAAGTGCTGCTAGGCTTCCCACACATTAATTAACTCTCTTAGAGATTCTCAGACAAGAATTCAACTGCTTATAATTGCCTATATCCAACTAAATTTGTTTTATTTGTAGAGGTGCCTCAAGTTTAACCAGTCCTCTCCCTTATTTTGATATGCAAAACTTTATTCCTTCTAAATAAATCTTAAGCTTTTTAACATAAGCCATGAATAAAATGACAAAGAAAATGGTAAAAGTCTATATTTCTGTTTAATAAATAGATCTTCCCAATACTAGCTATCTCTTACACTCTTCTTCAGATTGTCCAACAGACCCTTTTAATGTTTTTTTCTCCTCTTAAATTATCCACAAGCCCCATTTTAATGTTTGCAATGTTCAAGTGCCTCAAAATTTTCAATAGCCAAATCCATATGCTTGCATTATGTATGTGCAGCCAAAAGTTCCAGTATTCATATATAAGAAATAAACTATCAAATACTGATTGTATGAATTACAGGAAATCCCAAAACAATTAACAAATTAAAACCAGGAAGTTCGAAATGAAAAATGGCACGCGACAAATGAGCTTACCTATCAACAGAAGATGATAAGATGTCCCCATCATCCAATGCAATGCCAGTGACTTGCAATTGATGGCCCCTTAGTGTCTGCACCTTCTCTCCATTACTCAAGTTCCAAACCAAGACCAGTGTGTCCATGCCACCAGACACAATCCCACCTTCAGGGTACTCTTCATTTGGTGGAATCCAAGCCAATGGTCCTACAAAACTCGAATGCCCCAACAAAATTTTTGACGAAGCATACTTGTCCTTGTCTGATGGATCAAGAGACCAAAACCTCACAGTCCGGTCCCTCGAAGAAGTTGCAATACCAGCATTGCCACATACACATATACCACGAACCTAATATTCAAACAATGCAAGTGTATTTCAAACAAATAGTAGTATAATTTGAGTATATATGCACAACATCAACAGTCATAGAAATGAACTCTTTATCCTGAATTTCCATATGCTTCTATTACCATACACACAACTTTCAGCCAACAGTATCAAAATTCATGCAATAATTATAAATATATATGTGGATATCAATTCAAATGTCGGCATCAAATCGGCAAAAGCTTATTAACTAGAAGAACAATTATCTTCATCACAACTCTTAAGCTACTCAAAATCCACGTTGCCTTGAACTTTTATAGGTTACTAACATGTAATTAAATTTCTGTATTCCTTGACATTATTTGTTTCCATTATAAATTTTGATAGCATTTGATTTCATAAGTATAAGCAAAGTAAATTTGCAAAAATTGAAACAGAAATGATTAGTAGGTGAAGAAAACAATTACAGACTAGAAATGCGAAGAAAATTTTGCAGAAGAAAAACGGAAAATAACAGGAAGTGGAAATCTTACGTCGTCTTCGTGGCCTCGAAGTTCACAGCTCAATTTGTACTCTCTGAAATCAATCTCCATGTCCATAACTGCAAATCTCTTATCGATAGAAGAAAGAGAGAGAGTTTATACAGATAAGAGTTTAAGAAGTAAAGAGAAGTGGATTGCGATCGGAAGAATCAAAAGAGCAACTGCTTCCTGACTTCGTTGCCAAGTTTTTTCTTTGTAAAATTCACTGGCAGCACCAACCCTTCGACTTGGAGGTGCTTTTGTAATTCTGGGTTTTTTCAGATGATTTTCGTAATTTACAGCATTAAGCCCCTGGCATAATTACGGATCAGCATACTATTTTACAAATATTATAATCTGACCAACAATAATAATTTATAATGTTATTTCTGCCTCTTATATGTTTAGACCGTTCTTAATCGACTTTGATTTTATGTAATCTGTATTTAAAAATTGTAACTGCATTAGTATACTGAAATTACAGTACTATCCTTCTAAAAAAATTTTTAGCACTCCCTAAGTGCAGATTTTAATATAATCCTTTGTCAATAGTATGTAATGGAAAGAAAAAAAAAGCTTTATTCGTCCATTGATGGATACACTTTTATATTCAGGAATTAAGAAAAAATTAATAATTATTTTAGTTAGAAATTTAAATTTACATATATTTATTTTATTATACCCATATTTTAATATGAGATATAATTATTAATCTATCATTGACTTTTTATGTCGATCAATTTTAATTAATTATCTAAAATTGGTTGATATGCATTGAAAATGACTAAACTTACTAAATATTCACATTTTCAATTTTCAAAATGATCTATTATTTTCAAAAAAAATTTCAAAATGATTTATAATAAATAATGGCATTGGAAAAAAAATAATTGATAAAAAAAGTTATTTTTAACAAGTAACATTATATATGGAGATAATAGAGATTTAATACACTCGTTCTGTCTCATAATTTATGTCTTGATTTGGCTTGCAAATAGATTTAAAAACACTTAATTAATATAGTTAAACTATATAATTGTTGCTTCTCATATATATATCATTATATATGGTAGATAATAGAGATTTAATTACCTCGAGTTCTGTCTCATTATTTATGTCTGATTTGGCTTGCAAAATAGATTTTAAAAACATACTTAATTAATTATAGTGTAAACTATATAATTGTTGCTTTCATTACTTATTATACTATATAGTTATTATACTTATATTATATTATATTATCCTCTATGTCAATATCTATAAAAAATTAAATGAGTCCAATTTATAAATTGGTCCTTTAAATTCAATCGTTAATATCTATAAAAATTAAATGATCCATTATAAATTGTCCTTTAAATTAATCAAAATATAATCAAATATTTGATTAATTATAGTTTTATTTTATTAGAAGATTAAAGGTTAATATGTTAATTTATTTATATCAAAATTTAATTAACAATAATGTAGCAGTGTCACTATTATATTTATTGACAAATAAGCATAAGAAAATAGTAAACTTCAAATATTATTTATTTCTAATAAAGAAAATATGAAAACAATATGGAACAGAAAAAAAATAAAAGTGGAAAAAAATTATGCGATGGAGTGCTTTTTTTTCCTTAAACAATAGCATTTAAAAAAAAATTAATTGACTTATTGTATGATTGTAGACAATAAATTTACTAATCAAATATACTACCATTTTTTTTTCTAATTATGTTTTCCATTTTCAAAATTTACAACCTGATAGAAATTAAAAAATACAAAATAAAAGATTTTCCATAAATCAACACCACCTTATGATCTAAGAATTTGAAAAACTATAAGTTTATTTAATTTGTAAGAATAATAAAATTTGAAAATTATCAGCAGTATTATATATATATATATTATTTTGTAAAATTAAATTTACTGAAAAGTTAAAGTTGTGTAAATAATAAATAAAATATTTTTTATTTATTAAAAGGTTTGATTGGTCGAAATATTACTCCGACTTACACAACAGGGTGGCTCTCTTTTAACTCACCAAATTAGTGAACTTATGATCGAGATAATTTGAACTCGAAAACTCTTATTCATTTCACGAGTGAGTAGATCAAATCATAAATAATTTATTTATTTCATGAATTTTAATCAAAATTCTTATCTATTTTCATTAATTGATAAATTATTGATGTGTCATTGAAACATTTGATTTTTTCATTTAAAAAATATAATTTTTATCGTTGATTGGGAAATTAAAGGGTAAGCTTAACATAAAAAAAAATACTCAGCGACTTTACTAAATAATAGAAATATGATAACAATTTCAAACAAAATTAAGGGAAAAAATGAAAAAAAATATTTGAGCAATAAAGTAACGATAAATAAACAGGAATAAAAAATGCTGTTTCTTAAGTAACAACTCCTGAGAACAAAACAATAGTAAAGGTTCCAGACTCTTTCAAAAAAAAAAAAAAAAAAAAAAAAAGACTCTTTTCAAAAATAAAAAAAAAAAAAGAAAAAAACAATGGTTAACAAAGGTAAGTGCAATTCGCTAATTTTCAAGCACTTTGAAGGTCTTCCTTTGAGCTTATTGTCATTTAATCTTCGCCTGGCATCCCACATTCCATTTGCAACAACAGGGAGTTATAGGACTCTTGCATTTTACAGCGCAAGCTCAGGTCACCAAACTCCTCTGCGCACGCCTTTCTTCACCACGATTAGGATTATCATATAGAACGTAATTTAATGCAGGTTTTCTTCTTCCCAGTTCTTCGTATAACTAAAACATTCATCATATGCTTGTTTTCCCGAGAAATTAAAGAACATTACCAAAAAAAAAAAAAAAAAAAAAAACAATGGTAAAGGTAGTGGCAATTCGTAATTTCAAGCACTTGAAGGTCTCCTTTGCTTATTGTCACCGGCTCTAAAATCTTCGCCTGGCATCCACATTCCATTGCAACAACAGAGTATAGACTCTGCATTTTACAGCGCAAGCTCAGGTCACCAACTTCCTCGGCGACGCCTTTTTTCACCATTAGAATTATCTATAGAAGGTAATTTAAATGCAGGTTTCTTCTTCCAGTTCTTCGTATAACTAACATATCATATGCTTGTTTCCCGAGAAATTAAAGAAATTACAAATATGAATCCTATAACTTCACATCATTCAACTCACAGCTAATAACAATACCATTGTACTCTGTATTTGCTTTTTCGAATTGATCTCTTCAAGTTTTAGAGCTCAAAATGTTGTTGTTAGGTTATAGTTTGATATGAAGCTCACTCTTGCTTTGATTTCCCTTTTTTGCTCTGCAGCCAGACTAAGATTTTTATGGCATTTTACCATTTTGACCTTTACTTGAGGCAATGTGTTTAAGATCCACGGATTTGTCATCTTGTAATGTGCAGATACTATATTTTATTTATAAACTATGTTTTGCTGAATATTTTGATCTGGAATATGCTTAACATGAGAGTGGAATTTTTTTGTTGGCAGCTTGTACTGAACTTCCTCGCATTGTATTTTATATTTGGAAATGGCGATTTAACTATAAGTTGCAACTAACTTCTTTAATTATAAAAAAAGTTTAGTCCCATTTTCCTAAATGCCTTTTTAAATCCAAATGAAAACTGAATGCTTAATTTATCATTATTCTACAATTTTGTCAAAATAAGTTCAATTTAATTTTCATCTGCGCAAGATCTTATTTATAATATGCTGTTCTTGCAGTGAGATACCTTGAGGAGACAAAGAAATTTTGTGAACTAATTTATTCTTAGACATGGTTTTTGAAGTTATTAAAGCATAATCTACGCTGTTAAGAGCATTAATGTTATGCCTATTATTTCTGTCCTGTCAACTTATAATCAATATTCCTACCTTTCTTTGACTGTTTATTCAATTTGTTAAGTTTGTTATGAAGTCCCTAAATATATTCCTGATTTCAGTTGGCACAGTTAGATTATGTCCTCTTCTACTGATACATGCATATATCATGCCAATTTGTTGCTACATTGATCAATAATTGTTATTTTCACCTTTTTTGCTTTTATCCCAGTGAACCACTGCCAGGCATTTGATGACTTGGAGTCTTGGAGATGACATACAAAGTTAAGATTATGCTCCATTGAGTAGCATTCTTGAACTTGAAGCTTTGGCAAGTTGTGTTAGACTAGGAACTTGTTAGGTGAGATTTGAGGAGGTAAGTATCTAAGATATTGAATCTACATTTGAACGGACATTAAAATCTGGTTTATGAATATATGGAAGTTCGAGGGGCTGTATATTCTGGGAATGAAACAGTTGATCGTGCTTTGACTCCGCTAAAATTGATCAGGGGTATTGTGTGTTTAGTCGTGTTGGTTGTAACAGCATTTATGATGCTAGTATATTTTGGCTTTTTGAGTGCTGTTATACTGAGACTTTTCAGCATACATTATAGCAGGAAAGCAACATCTTTTTTCTTTGGTGCTTGGCTAGCTTTATGGCCTTTCCTCTTTGAAAAGATAAATAAGACCAAAGTCATTTTTTCTGGTGAAACTGTTCCTGCAAAGGAACGTGTTTTGCTTATTGCAAACCACAGAACTGAGGTTGATTGGATGTACTTGTGGGACCTTGCATGGAGGAAAGGTTGTTTGGGATACATAAAGTATGTCCTCAAGAGCAGTTTGATGAAATTACCTGTGTTTGGTTGGGGATTCCACATTTTGGAGTTCATCTCAGTAGAGAGGAGGTGGGAGGTTGACGCATCAAACATGCACCAAATGCTTTCAAGTTTTAGGGATCGCCAAGATCCCCTCTGGCTTGCTCTCTTCCCTGAAGGAACGGATTTCACGTAATGACTTTCTTCTTAATATTGCTTTTCTTCCTTCTTTTTGGAAAGCTCCAAGTTTTCCATCAATTTTAAAGTTATTAACAAGTAGCATAACATTTTCAAAAATAATTCCTATTTTTATCAATTATTCTGAAAATCTTTTTATACCAGAATGAAATTTTCTCAACCTTTGTTATATTTCTTACATCAGGGTTTCCATTTTTTTTCCCTTGTTTTTTGTTTTGCAGTGAGCAGAAGTGCATTCGGAGTCAAAGATATGCAGCTGAAAATAACTTGCCAGTCCTGAAAAATGTGTTGGTCCCAAAAACCAAGGGCTTCTATGCCTGCTTGGAAGATCTGAAGGGCTCTTTGGATGCAGGTTGTTTCTCTTTCTTTGGTTCTTTCTGCTTGATGCTATTATCAGAATGACTGCTCTTTTATGCTTTGAAAGTTTGAAACTACCCTTACAGTACACGGATAGTTGAATAGTAACAAAAAATTTCACTTGATCAAGAAATAAATGAAATCACATTTTCTAATCAGGAATATACAATGTTGCTAAGATATTTTCTTTATCAATCCTCAATGATCAATTAACTTTGTCCTCTTGCATGCAAGACTTGCCTGAATCTGAAGTGTGTCTCATTTAATGCATTATGGTAGGAGTGGGAGCTTACAGGAAGAAGCTCCCTTTGTGTTGTGCACTAGTGAAATGAAAACAGAAAGAAAGAAAAAATAACTGAGCTCAAACACAAGAAGCATGAAACCATAAATGTCAGACATGAGGTCCATTTTTTTTCCTCCAATAAGAAAAAAGGCTGGAGAAACGATGAGCTATTTGATTACTGATTTCTCTGTTTGACCTGTTTGGTTGAACAGATGGTCACTGATGAGGTTTCGAAATTACAATGCTTGAATTTGCTTTGAACATCTTTTTCTCAATTTGCATAATTTATTCATTGCAGTTTATGATTTGACCATTGGTTACAAACCACGGTGCCCAACTTTATTAGACAATGTTTTTGGCGTGAACCCCTCTGAAGTTCATATTCATGTTAGGCGCATAGCTCTTGATGAAATCCCACATTCTGAAAAAGAAGTTGCTGCTTGGTTGATGAAGACATTCCAACTAAAGGACCAATTACTTACAAATTTCTATTCCCAAGGCCATTTCCCTCATCAAGGTACAGAAGGTGACCTCTCAACAGTGAAGTGCTTTGTAAATTTTGTGGCAGTAATACTTTTGATTGGCACATGTATGTTTTTCACTTTTTTCTCATCAATTTGGTTCAAGATTTATGTATCTTTAGTATGTTGTTATTTGGCATCTGCAACCTATTTCAACGTTCGTCCAATGCCACTTCTTAGCTTTCTGAAAACTGTTGCTAGGTTTTAAACCTCTCAATGCAGCAAAAAGAATTTCTCCCAGGTGAATTCTATAGAGCCCATAATTTAAGTTTCTTTGCCTGCTAGAGATATGCTGTTGCTTCGTCAAACTAATTAGCAACTTTTGAAGTTTCTGGCATCTTAGAAGACTCATACCTGTTTAATGGCTTATATTTCATATATCAACTGTCTATGCTATTGTAAGACTTACTACCTATATGTATAATTAAACATGTCAACCTGTTGCAGACGAAGTATCTTTAAACCTTTGATATCCATAGATTATATGCACACGCACACAGCACAGACAGGGACAAAGCTGGTTTGTGCAAGGCAATGTTAATGTTGATTGGGTTTCATCTCATTTCTAATTTGCTTCATTTATGTTTGAAATATGTATTGTCATGAATTCTGGCTTTCTAGGTTCTTGCTAATGATGCAATGGATACCTACTATATAAGTTATGGTCTCACTTGGCAGAACAAGTTTGTGCATAAAAGATGTTGAATTGTGCTCCAGTTTGTCGTGCTAATCCATCTTTTCTTTTTCTTTGAAGAAACGCACACTCACACACACGAGACAGGACAGGATACACTGTTTATCAAAACCATGACAATTTGGACACAACATGCTAACCTATATATCTTATACACAGGCAATTGTGCTAATCCATCTTGAACTGCTACATTACTTAGCTTTCTTTCTTCGCTCTGTCTCGTCACTATGGATCATTCTTTTCAATTATGTCCTGTTTTTGGAGTCTAAACCCTTTCTTTTTCCCTAGTCCCCATTCTTACCATTTTGGTTCTTATGTACATACATGCGGTGCAGCAAAAGAAAATGAAAAGCTAAATAAAAGAAAGAGATCATTTTGTCTTTTATTTTGTTCTTTCTGGTGCCACTGGGGCTGTTCAAGGTGAGGACCTTGATTCATAATTATATGTTTTATGATTCATCAGATCCTACTGCTTGCTTAGTCTGGAGTTTATCTGAAAGCAGGTGACTGCTTAAGCCATGCACAAGCACCGGCAGCAGAGGATATTATATATATATCTGAATCACAGCTCACCATATAAAACATGCATGTGATTTCATGACTAAAGAATTTACCTTGCTTACTGGTTGCCATTTTTTGTAGACTTGTATTCAAAACATAGGCTTTCTTTCTCCATTTTTTTACAGGAGTTCTTCATTCTTGGTTAGGAGTTCATTCCTACTCTTGTTCATCCATATATGACGATTTTGGATTTTCTCATATAACTCTGTTTTTGGCTTTTTGATTACTCCTATTTTTGGAAGTCTAGCAACAAATTAGCATCAGTTTGTTAAATGGATTTCTTTTTTCATTATTTGATACGATCTGGTTATTATCGTTTTTATGGAATAAAAAAAGATTTGGATAAAGCAACTCATAAAACGAATTTTATTTACGTTGAAATTTTAATTAGTGACTATAGACAAATAAACGTCCGGTACTATATGTATTCTTAAGAATAAAATATTAAGGATAAAGTTATTTTTGGTGTTTGAACTTTTATTTTGTTTTCTATTTTCGTGTCATGAAAGGAATTTGTTAGTGAAATAAATATATAATATTTAACTAAATGCCTTCTTATCAACAAACACATCTAAAAATAAAATTTATAATCGTAATAAATTTATTTTAATAAACAAAAATTCTTAATCTCAATTGCACGCAGAGGTCTAAATAATTTGAAGAAAGAAGCAAATTGATATCAATATACTAGGAGCTTTATATATTTGTTAGACGCTGCAATAGATTTCAGGTTCCCTAAAATCGAAGTTGAACATGAAATTCATAGTCAAGAAAGAAATTAAACTTTTAACACAAATCATGTGCAGTACTAATTAACAACCATTAATGAAACAATAATCATATATCCCAAAATGGAAAATAAAATAAAATGAAAAAATTAATTACTAAAACCCTTAAATTAATTAGTTATTGGGATGTTTAATTATCCTTTGCAAAACCACAGTTCTTGCTCTTCTAATATCGCGGCTGCAATTATCAGCTTGTACTCCTAAATCTTCAACATGTTTCATAAACACTTCCAATTTCTTCTTAATCTCCTCTATTGCAATTCTCACAGCTTCTTCTTCAATTGCAAATTCTGCATTTACCATTAATCCTTCAATATCTATCTCCAATCGATCGATTAACAATCGAATATTATCCAAATCTTTAATGGCAACATAAGTACCCACTTGCATTGTACTCGTTAATTCCTTTTGCCCTTTCAATGCATTTTCATAATTCTTCCATAGCGAGTCGATCCATTTGCCCATCGAGCCTAATGGGATCGACGTTGCAGCAGCCAAAGCAGCAGCTACAGGAGGCGCTGCCATGGCTGCTGCAACAACTGAACAGATTAAAACAGCAGCAAAAGTAGCAACAAATATTATGCTTGAAACTTTTCTCCAAGCATGGATGTACTTAAGTTTCTTATCCAATTTGTTCTTTCTTGACTGCAGTTTCTCAAGCATTAGTATTTGTTGCCTGTAAACTGACTGAAAAAGCTGGAAGAAGTCCTCAGTGAAAGGATCTCCTGCAGACTTAAAATTCTTTAATCCTTCCAATGTCTTACCAAACCTATTTCCTCCATTTACACTTTCTTCTTCGAATTGTTGAAGCGCGACAAGAATAAACAACTGGCTATCGCGAGCACGCTTTAAGCATTTCTCCAATGCAGTACAGAAATCCAAAGTCTGCAAACTATTCTCAAAATATTCTTCAACAAGCTCAAACAATTCTTGATTTTTCCATATGTCCTTCTTGCATTCCAAGATCACTTTAACAACTTCTTGATTCATTTCTAATAGACATTCTGTTACTTCTTTTAAAGAATCAAAAGAAAGAGCTCTAACCTCAACACCAACAGCAAGAGTATTGATGACCTGATTTGTACGGACTTGAAGACTTGTATCAAATGTTTGTAAGTCTTTATCGAGCCTGCAAGCTGCTTCATAAAAGCTTAATTCAGTTGCGTATTGTAAATTGTTGTTGAGATTAACAATAGTGGAAGAAGAAGAAGAAGCAGCAATTTCTGCTGGTAATTTCTTGCTCAGATGACCTCCCATAGCTTCAGATCTTCAAAACCCAATTAAACAAAAGTAATTTCTTTGATTAGTTGCAGAAAAAAGCAAGAAAACAAAATGGATTTTGTTGAAGGCTTTTCTTGAATTGATTAATCAAATGCAAATTAATAAACAGAGACTTGATTTATATACAACAAACAAAAAGAAGATATTAATGTTAAAAGAAAGAAAATGAATGAGATGCCCAGAAAAGGAAAGATGGATTTAGAAGGCTTTAAAACAGACCAGAAACAAAGAAAAGCCAGATACAGAGAACAGGAAAGAGAGAGAAGAGAGAGACAGAACTACAAGTTTAAGCTTTTGAATTTTTGTCAAAAGTAGAATAATGAGAGAGAGAATTAATGATAAAAGGTAGTGGGTATGCTTAATAAAGAAGGAAAAGCAATATAAATAAATAAAGAGAGAACGAGAGGTGTTTGAAGAATGAAGAAGCTTAAAGACAATAAAAACCGTTAAGAACCAAGACATTACAAAGAGAGAAAGAGTGGGTTGTGGGTGGGATGGTGGTGGTGGTGGTGGTGGAGTGGTGGCGGCGCGCGGTGGAAACTATAGGTTTCTCTAAGATTTGAGCATAGCTTGCACGCATTGCATTAATAAGAATTGGGACATCGAAAACGCGGGAAGCAATGTTTTCCTTTTTTTCTCTCTCTAGAAATCTGCACAACAAAATGAAGCTCGATCCATTTGATTACGGCTTTAAGCAGCAAAAAGCACAAAAATTAACAAACCCATTTAGCTCGACTTTTGAAAAAGGAGAGACTGTAAGGTAAAACTTCAGCTTCAAGAACAGAGACACAGGTAATAATATGTAGAAGAAGAGAAGAAAACGCAATGTAATGAAAGGGAAAGTTAAAAGCAAGATTGTGACGAGAAAATAAAGATTATAACTGCTAATTCTGCTGCGACCTGCCGCATTTTCTAAAATTACAAAAATACCCTCGATTTCAAAATTTGAAATAAAGAATAGTGTTTTATTATTATTATTATTATTATTATTATTATTATTATTGATCTTATCCTTATATTTTAAGTTTAACCATTAAAATCACGTGTTGCAATTTAGAGGTTGATCTTAATAGCGAAACTTAAACTATACATTGTAAGCACGTTCCACAGAATTAGCTGGTTTGGTTTGATAGCTCTTAACTATTTTAGTAATATAGAGATGTTTGAATAGTTCATAGCTATTTGAATAATTTATATATATATATATATATAATATTATTTTCTAAAATTACAAAAATACCCCTCGATTTCAAAATTTGAACATAAAGAATAGTGTTTTAATTATTTATTATTATTATTTATTATTTATTTATTCATTATGATCTGTTATCCTTATAATTTTTAAGTTTAACCATTTAAAATCACGTGTCTGCAATTTAGAGGTTGATCTTAATAGCGAAACTTAAACTATACATTGTAAGCACGTTCCCACAGAAATTAGCTTGGTTTTGGTTTGATAGCTCTTAACTATATTTTTTAGTAATTATAGAGAATGTTTGCAATAGTTCATAGCTATTTGAATAATATATTATATATTATATATATATAATCATTATTAAGTTAAACATTACATAATTAATTTTCTATTAAAAATTTTATATTAAACTTCTAAAATTAGTTTAAAACTCTATATTACTGAACACTATTAAATATTATAAGTTAAACATTACAATAATTAATTTTTTATAAAAATTATATTAACCTTCAAAACTTAGTTTAAAATCTATATTACTGAACACTATAAAAAATAACATTTTAAAACATTAAAAGCTATTTAAAAAAAATCGTTACGGAATACAACTTATGACTACAATGGTGGTGTTACAATTTTTTAAAAAATTTTTTTTATCATAATGAAATTTTATTCATAACTTATCCTAAAATTAGATAATTTGAAAAGAAATAGAATGGTTCTAAGGTGATGCTCTAATTCTTTCATTTTTGTACATAGAATTTCTCATTTATATCTTTCTCAAAATATTTGTTTCTATTTTTAATACATCAAAAATATCAAATTAACTATAGAAAAAAAATAACTTATAAATTTTTATTGAATTTTTTAATTATATCGAATAAATTTCAAACTTCAAGTCCTCTCAACGATTTCCTCGCAAAACATAGAGCGAATAAAATGCATGATATAAATCTTTTAAAAAATGCAAATACTGTAAGTAAATGAGATGAAATACCTGCTCCTTGTTCTTGAATTCACAGGCAACCTTAAAAGAGGTTATAGCAATTATTGAGCTGAGCTTTTGGAGAAAAATAGTGCTTTTAGATATAGTTCAATGTCTGAAACCAAACTCTCTCTATTTATACTCATCTTCAATCTGAACATGATGACTTGCAAATCAAGACATACAAAATCAAAACATTTCCCCAATTTTGGGATATTTTTGTAAATTACTGAAATGTGCACAAGAAGATAAGCAGTTGCTAGCTAGTTTCTTCTTCTTTTTTCCCCTATAATAATAATAATAATAATAATAATAATAATTAAAGATAACCTCAAATCAATTCACGAATATCACTGAATTAAAATTAAATATTCTCTTTAAATAATTTAAAAATATATTTTTACATATCTATTTGATATATTAAGGAACATTATAATTTGTGTGGATTTTCAATACCAATTTGATATTTTTTAATTTACGTTAATTAGTAGTATTATATAGGCTACAGGGCTAGAAATGTCATTTCAAAAATGGAAGAGATAATGGCTTAGGTTTACACAGTAAATTAGGCCAAATTGAGGGGCGTTATTTAAGATGAGAGTGACAAGTAAGTAATTAATCATAACAAAAGCTCAACGAGAAGCAAGCAATTTTCTTTTCAGGTTGACAGCTGTGGAAGGACGCGTCATGCGGATAACACGTGTTGATAAGTTAGTGGTTGCCTCCTTTATGAGTTTTGAAAATGATTCCACGCTACGTCACCCCACCGGATTATTCTCCTCACGTGCTTTGTAACGTTCTGCTTGTCTTGCTATTTTTCGCAAGGCACGTGACATTATTAGTTTGTTTAGTATTAGCTTTTCTTAAGTACAACAACTATTCCTAATCCTCCTCATCTTTGTCGTTTAATTAGTAACTACTACTTAATAATGCGTTTATTAAATGTAAACATTGAGTGATAAGTCTCTCTACCTGACTTTATTGTTCATGAGTCATACTCTTACTCATAGAAGAAAATACAATGCATGGAGAAACCTAAAACAATCCAATGAATTGAGAAACCTTATTAAGCCAAATATTCAATGAACATAGTTACCAAAAGCAACAAATTTTAGAAATTTTGTAGAAGAGGTGTGGTTTGTTCGGTTTTCATACTTTTTGCAGAAGTTGTAGGGAGTGAGAGGTCTTAAATTCGAGTCTTCTCTACCATAAAAATTATCACTAATTTAGTAAATATTATTCAAATGAGAGGATTATTGCTTTTATATAGCCAATAATGTTTTCACAATGGATAAAATAATCTTTCATGGTGGAAAACAGATTTTTTTTTTTTGTAAAATTTTAAATATTAAAATAAGTGAGAAAATATTTTACAATAAGATTGTGTTCGACAACAGTTTTTAAAATAATTAAAAGTTATTTTTTATAATATTCGGTAACATAGTATTTGAACTAATTGTTAGAGGTTAAGGTAACATTTTATATAAAATTAACCCTTATAATGTTTAACTTTTAGCATTTTATGAAAAACTATTCGAATATCTATTAGCTACTAAAATAAATAATAGCTGTGAAAACAACTAATTTTGCCGAACGAGCTTAATGCATGCACGTAGAATGTTGGTGTCGGCTTATATGATGCAAGAACATTGTTGAGGTTTTATTGGAACTAATTATTTGTGCAAGCCAAGTTCTTTTATTTAGGCCAAGAATAATGAATGAAGAATATTAGTAGTATTTGAATTTGTTTTTTACTCTCCAATATATATTTTTGATAGCTTTTACAATTAATATTATTGTTAAATAATTGACTAAATAATCAAGTAGTATACGCGAAAGGGATCTTGCTTTGGACGCTTTGATTTCTGCTGAACCACCCTACGAATATAGACTATGATCTAAAGCAAATTAATACCAAGTTGCAATATTTAATTTGAAATATCAATATACTACTATTTATTATTTATTATAGTAAATAATATTGAACTTACTAGTTTTTACTATTGTCTAGACATTGAGAATTTATCTTACTATAATAATTAAAATTTATTTAAGTTTTATAATTAAACCCTAATATTAATTTTATATATTAATAAAATATAAATTGAAATTTCGAAAATATACATCAAACGAATGTAAAATTATTATCAAGGCTGCAGGTTGGAAACAACGCTATAGTCCAATGGGAATTTGATTGGAAATTCATGTAACTACCAAGAACCATGTGGACAGCTAGACATATACAATTTGCTTTTATGGCCAGCTTTTTGCATATTGACGGTACCAAGGTTTTTATATTTTTCACCGACTCCACTTTTTTTTTTTTTTTTTTTTTAACAACGCTATAGTCACATGGGGGAATTTGAATTGGAAATTCATGTAACTACAAGGAACCATGTTGGACAGCTAGAACATATGACAATTTGCTTTTATGGCCAGCTTTTTGCATATTGAGGTACCAGGTTTTTATATTTTTCACACGACTCCATTTTTTTTTTTTTTTTTTTAATTAACAATCTATCTTTTTTTTTTTTTTTTTTTTTAATTAACAATTATCTTCTCCAAAATCCGTTTTTCTTTTTTTTTTTCTTTTTTTTAATAGAGTATGCCTACATTCTTTTTCTCTTTTTCATGTAATGGATAATCTTGCAATCCTAATTTACACTTGGTTTTCAAAGAGTGGGTTTGATTACATATACAAGGTAATCTTCTTTTTGGATCAAAGAAGGACAAAAATTGTTGAATTAAAAAAGTCTGGGCAGTAAAATCTCACAAATATTGAATTATAGTGTTCAGTAATATAGTATTTGAATTAGCTTTAAAAGGTTAAGATGACATCTTATAAAAAGTCATTCTATATATTTTAACATTTTTTGAAAATTTATTCAAACAGTTAAATACTATTAAAATAACTAACAACTAATTTTTCCGAACATACCATTTTATATATATATATAATATCATAGCAATTGGGCATGCAAAATCCCTCTCGTGAACATGGAAATCCAAAAAATTGTATATAAAGCTCACCATTATGGATATGGTGTATAAATAATCCATGTTCTTGTTGGGCAAAGCATCACATGCTTTTGTTCAATAAATGTAGCAATGGCTGTTAATAATTAATCTCAAATAATTCCACAATAACCTAGATCGTGCAAATCACTAGATTCAACAAAATAGATTGAATAAGAAAAAGGTTGCGTACCTGACATCGTTGTTTGCGTACCTGACATCGAAAAGGTTGCGTACCTGACATCGTTGTTGGTCGATCTTGATGTGTAGAATTAGGTTTGCAGCCTTCCAGAGAATTGAAGAATCGATTAGCGGAAGCAATACGAAAGGAACGTAAAATTGAATCGTATTCAACTCCTCTGGGGACCACTACCTTTATATACCTGTAGCGTTAGTATAATTTCTATTTCGGTCCTTTAACAAAATAAAAATTATATAATGGTCTCTACACTTAATATTTATAATCAGTTGATACCTCAATAGTCAATTATTCACAATCAAGACCACATTTGAAATTGACTTTACTACAATTGGACTGTTGTACATATTTAATTTTACATATTAAGCCCACAATCAATTCATTAAACGCCCACAATAGAAAAATTCAAATCCAACAACAATCAAGACCACATTTAAAATTGACTTTACAATTGGACTGCTGTACATATTTAATTTTACATATTAAGCCCACAATAGAAAATTAAATCCAACAATGGCATGCTTTAAACAACTCACCTGGATAAGCTTTTCCACTAGAATCCAACAAGTTTTTATTTTTAACACAACCAAATGCCAATGTTTGCCCGTGACCCCCAAATTGCATGCCCATAGTATTGCCAATCTGCCAACCCTCCATGTTTGCTGCCTTACCACTTTTTCTTCTTTCCATTCTACACTGTGGAGCATTTGGTTCTTAATTTATCTAAATTTTGGACTAATCGGTTGGTTTTAATAGGTTATATTCTATGATTATCAACTTAATTGATGTATTTGAAAATGCTAAATTTAAGATCAGATCGAACTAAATTATATATAAAATCAAAATTTATCGAGCTGATAATTATATAGTTCCACTATATAATTCTGATATTGTATTTTGCTTTTGATCAAGTTAGAAAATGAAACATAAATGTAAATTTTAACATTATGTTAGCTTAGTAACAGTCGTTACTTTTCTAATTAATCATCTTATTATTCTAATACATATAGTGAGAAATCACGAGCAAAATTGCAATCCCTTTACAAAAGAAAAAGAGCGATTCAAGGTTTTGGGAAGAGTTGATGTATTGAGTCGCCTTCTACAATTTTTTTTACTGAAGAGATTATATCCGTAGGTCGAACCCATGACTTCCAGATCTCAGGTGGAGTGACTTCATTGTTACGTACACTTTTGCAGCCCCTTGAAACTAAATAAAAAAAAATAAAAAATAAAAAATAATAATAATAATAAAACAAATTGCAGCTACTTCAAAAACCACCAACCCCATGAGTTCATTTTCTATATAAAGCATAGATGTGCCAATCACAGTCCTCACTACCCACAAACAAACATAACAAGAGAAGAAGAGTGCTGATTTGGTAGCCAAAGCCAATGGAGGCATACATGAAGAAGCTAGCTACTATCCTGGCACTTGTAATGGGCATAGCTCTAGTTTCTAACCCAGTGGTGGCCAATGGTGCTGAGACATTCTGCCACATGACCGATGAAGGCTTAAACGCATGTAGACCATCAGTGTCAGGCCAAAATCCCGTAGCACCATCAGCTGCTTGTTGCTCTGCTCTGTCAAAAGCCGACTTGCAATGCCTGTGTTTTTACAAGAATAATTATCCATGGCTATTAACTACCTACAAAATTGATCCCAACCAAGCCTTGCAGCTTCCAGTCAAGTGCAGCCTAGTTGAGGAGTCTTTCCATTGCTAAAAATCCAATAATTCAGCATTTTTATTCCTGTCTGTTTAATTATTTGCACGATTAATGGTCTTTAAGTATTATTATTTGCTTTTGTGGTTTCCTTTCCTCTGTTAATTTGTTTGTGCTTGTGTCTTTGTTGTTTTGGATTATTGCTTCAGTACTGTTCCTTGTTTTTAGTTCGTTTTTCGTTTTTACTTTTCATTATGTACTCTACATTTTTAAGTTCGTGAGTTGTGACCTAAAGCAAATAGTATGTTTCGTGGAATTACTATTGTCTCTCTTGGATACCACTTATTCCAAAATTCATATATATATAAACACAAAAGATTTAATTAATCGGAAAAGACTTATTTACACTGAGCGTATAGATCTACTACATGCACTAAAAACAACCAAAAATAGTTTTTTTTTTCAATATGACAGTATAATAAATTATTATTGGAGAAATAAAATGATAAAATAGTAATAGTCTTTTAAAAGAATAAGATTTGTCTATATTCAGTGTATGAGACCACTCATATATTAAACCAATTTCTAAAAAATTGTTACTATATATTATTTTTTTCCTAATAAATAATCAAATATACCTTCATTTAAATAAAAAACTATTTTTAATTAATTTTGGTGCATGAGGTAGCCTACAGAGTGTAAGTGAGTCATTCTCTTTTAAATATAAGTTGATTTATGAATGGTTGTATACACGAAGTCTTATCCTAATTAATCACGGCAAGAATAAAAAGCAAGGTGGTCTGAAATATATATAATTTCCAAATATTGATGCTTTTTCTTTTATTTATTAATTAATTTAAAGAGACACAAAATGTACTTTTTGAAACCAAATCAAATCATTTGTATGTAAAAAACAAAGAGCAACTCAGTCATTTATTCTATATATATAGCATCCCTGATTTGTCGAATTTTATAAGGAAACATCTATAAAACAGGTAGAATTTTACTTCTTCTTCTTCTTCTTCTTTGTTTTTTTAAATTGCAGGTATCTCTTATCTTATTTTATTAAGTCTAATTCTACTGGCGCCGGGTCAGACTCAGTAAGAAAAAGCGCTCCCAGGATTTTCTCCATTTAGAAGAATCCAACACTCTCTTAATAAAACTCGTAGAATTTTACTTTTTGTTAGCCTTGAAGAAAATCCCTAACAATCTCCAAGCTAGGTTCCAAAACCTCCTTATTCCATGCTTCAACTGCCTCTTCTCCATCTTTCTCCCTAACAGAAGTAGCATCAATTCTATGCAGTTCCCAACCTAATTCATATATCATGTCATGAATCTTTCGTAACTGTGAATCCACTAATCTGCAAGTATTCTCTTTAATTCTATCAATGGCTAAGTCCAGGAATATTTTCTTCATCCTTTCATCAGCATTATATTTTTCTGCATAAAGAAACTGATCCATTTCTGGAACTCCAATTGCTCGCCAAACTCCACGACTGTAATCGGAGCCTGGTTCCACCATACTGCGAACCTCTTCAACTAAACCTGATTGCACCATAAGATCGACCCGTTTTGCTGCATGCTCGTACAGTACAGGTACAGCAACATCCAACCAGATAAAGCAAGAATCGAACTTTTCTTTGAAATTTGATGATGGGCTTTCTACTAGCTGTTTAATGTAGTTGTTTGAGCCTCCCACTATAATGGGTAGGCTTCCATTGTTGATTATTTGAGTTATTGTCGAGTTTACGTGATTAGAGAAATCTTGTGCAGTGAAATCTGCTTCAGGATCTTCAACGAAACCTAAAAGATGGTGAGGAATGCCATTGCGCTCAGATTCAGCAAGTTTGTTTGTTACAATGTCTAGGCCTTTGTAAAATTGCATTTTGTCTGAATTGATAATTTCTGCTTGGAAATGAGTGGCTATGTCAACTGAGAGCTTTGATTTTCCTGTGCATGTTGCTCCCATTATGAACAGAGTCTTGTTCTTCTTGATTACAGGTTCAATTGTGCTAGTACTCGAGTATCTGATTGTAGCAAAAAGATACCATATATTAAATTAGTACTATATAGATGTGTGTGTATGTGTTTGTGTGTGTGTTTACGCCATTGATATTCAGATAAATTACCTATCATTGTTCAGATCCAGTGCTGTATGTGGTCTTTCCAACCTTCAGAATAATCAGAACAAAACAAAGGCTCACTTCAATATATTGGTTTAAGTTTTTTTTTTGAAAAAAAAGCACAATAAAAAAAATCCATTGGAGATGGTTCAATCTTGAAATTTTATAAATTAAAAAGAAGAGTTTTCTTGTGAATTGAATATTCTAATTAATCCTATGTGATGAACAAAAAATAACCCATTAATTACCAAAAAAAAAAAGGGCTGAATAGTAAAAATATTTGTCTTCTAAAATGCATTTCATGGTTCTAGCTTTATTTTTATTTTTTGATCGATGGTTGTAGCTTATTTAAAAAGTAATAGTATTGATTACAACGTGTATAATATGCACACCATTCTTTGATTCTTTTTGTTATCATTTTTAGACCTAATATATTAGATTATTCTGAACTTTTGAAATTTCACTCTATTTTAATATTTCTATCAATTTTACTCCAATTTCGATCTTTTGTAGTAATACCATCCTCAACCGATGTATTGTAAATGAAAAAAAAAAAAAAAAAAAAAATTAAATTGCCTTGAATTACCTTTTCTTTTGGATCAAATATACCACCCTGGCCTATTAATATAAGTTATATTACTAAAAATATCTTTCCTATAACATTTAAGTAAAATGAGAATCAAACTTTTTCCCAATCCTCTCCAAAATTTCTCGCGAATCTTCTTTTTTGGTATAGTTAAATTTTCCTTCTTCACTCTCTCATAGCTTAATCGCTGATATTGGTGATTTCAGTTTGTAGATGAGAGGATATTTAAAATGACACATACAAAAAAAAAACACACAAAAACAAGTTTATTTTCTGCCATTTCTTTCTATCAGTTAGTGTCGTAATCATTTTTTTGGACACCATCATAGAAATTGAAAATATCCTCCAAAGTAAAAAAATTAATAAGATTTCGAAATAATAGAAACTTAACAAATATTGAGTTCCTTCTATACGAAAAATTTAATATTATATGTAAAAAAGCGAAAAAGAAGATAAAAAGTGATAGCCACATATTATTTATCTTGTTAGGGTCTATGTTTAAAGAGTAGCTAAATTCCCCCTCTCCAATCCGTAGTTAATAATTGCCTCTATTTAGGATTTTTTCTTGTTATTAAGACACAAATAAGTTTAATCGCCTCCTTCTAATGGGGTAGATATCCTGGTGGGATGTTTTTAGGGGTTGTTTGAGATCTGCTACTAGCCTAATCCTATTAGCATTTTCCTGTAAGTATAATTTATAGGTTAAAAAGGTTGTATAGGAATCGAAGAAAGATTTTATAATGTCTCTTATTGGATCAGGTAATAATTGCAGATGACATTTGATTTGTAAACTTCAATTATTTGTAATAAACGTGAATACGTGGTCTGGACATGAGATTCCCAAAGCTTATGTGAAAGCCTTGAATAATTCGAGATCATATATTTTTTCTAGTGTCTCTGAATGTGAGCATATGCAACATAGATTATAGTCATTTTTTCCATTGAGGGTAAACGCTCTTAGTAAATGCGAAACCATTATTGTGATGTCCAATCAAAGAATGTTTGCACCACCATTTGGGTTAATTAATTTCAACTACCTAGACCAAAGAAACCGTAAATACCCGACTGCTAAACTAATTCCATAATATAAATATTTCAGTTCTCTTGATTTGAATTTTGAAAATGTTCCCATATAATAACTATAAGATGCTAGTTCAAACATGCTGTGTAAATTTTTGAGACTGGAAATCCATATAAAAAGGTAGAGATACAAAGTGCACAAATCATCCATTCTAAGTCAATATTAATTGAACAAACTTAAAAATATAAAACGATGGAAAACTTTATATAATTAGATATATAATCTGGTACTGTAAGTATGTCTTCATTAATAGCTTCTTTCTCAGAATATTTTTCTTCATACAAGAATTAAAAAATTTTAATACTTGAGTGGTTTTTGGTGGAAAATCTAATGTAGTAAAAATAGTAACAGTTTCAGATACCTATAAAAAGATAATTAATTTTTGCACCGATAAAAGAATATTTGTCAAATTTTTGGTAAAACGTGGTAATTAATCGGTTGAATGTCTCATTAATTTGTAATATAAAATAAATTTCTTATTACTGTTCACCTTATTCTCATTTCTAAATTGTTTCTTTTTTTTTAAATTTTTTTAATTGGGCCACCATTTTTAAACGCAATAAATGTTTTATCCCTTACACTCTAAAACTTCTACCATATGTCAGGAAAATAATGCATTTTTGCCTTTTGTTTTTCTCTTAACATTGATTTGGGGTTGTTAGTTTCCTCATAACCTCAAGGCAAATAAGATTGAATATTAGGGAAAATTACTATTTTAAACAGGGGGGGGAGCAAAATTTAGTACCTTCAGGGGCATATTAAGCCCTAAATACTTAGTTAGAATATTATGAAACGTGTGTAGGAGCCTTTGTCTCCGCGCCAAATTATTACTTTTCTAATAGCAACCGCCAAAAGAGAAATTTGGGAGTTTCTTAATAAAATTTTTGAAATTTGTATTTTTACCATCCCGATCTTTTTTAAAATATATTTGTTTCATCACTGATCATAATTTTAACATAGATACACTCGCGAGAGACTCAGTGGTCAATCCCAAAAAATAAATAAGATTCGAAATGCCTCCCTTTATAACATATAGAAATATCTAGAGTTGGATAATCCTAACGATATCACACTTTAAAAAAAATAAGACCTCACTCTCCTTTTGTTGTCTGGAATTTGCATGATTTTTATCGTTTATATATTTTAATTGTATTGTTATGTGTTTATTCTTACGCCTTTAGCAAAGGGAAAGCATCTCATACCTTAATTATAGTTACTAAATAAACAACTCACAACATTAATTAAATAAAGCACAAAAATTATGATAGAACTATATTTTCAAGATCTCCGTATAAGAAATCTGTCGATTCAAAGTTGTTACATGAATATATAAACGTCAAAGAGAACAACTAGATAAATAAGATAACGCTAATAAATACCAATGTTCTCTTAAATAACCATCTCCTACCTTTGTAATAGTTGGCTTAATTCCAACTCTGTCCGATAAATATTGCATTTATTTATAATTAGAGGAGATATTTTTATACAAATATTCAATTCATAACTTAATAGTAAAAATATGCTAATCGGACATTGAGTTCTTTTACCTATCTTAATCCTTATATTTCTATTTATAAAGTTTTCCCTATTATATTCAAAGCGCCTTACCGCTTAATATACTGTTTGTGGTCTGTGGGAAATTATTCCGCTCTTTATAATCTATGAGTATTGTCTGATGTATCTATGTGATGTATGGCGTGCACAAAAAATATAAGATGGTTAAATGCTCTATCTGGGAAATAAAACCCTAAGTATTAGCATGGAATGACATAATTACTAAATATCCAAATTAATCCAAAACAAATTGTTGCGTTCTAAGGTCAAATTTGTTATGATTATATTAAGGCCCTCAGAAAGAGAAAATAATAAAAAGAAGATGTGAGTGAAACATGTGTGGCGGAAGTTAAATAAGGAGGGAAGAGGCCTTATTTTCTATATTATGTTAGGAAAAGAAAATCACCACCCAAGTGGAAAGTGAATTGAAATAGAATCCGTTATTGGGAGTACAAAACAGTAAACACATATTTAGCAAAGACCATCACTTTAAGTCAGGTTTAATATAAAGGATACCGTAAATGGATGAATTTGTAATGTGACATAATCTGTTAGAAGTTAAGATGATGCTCCCTAGATCCTAAATATGGAATTTTCCATTTAGGTAAACTCCAAAATGGAAATTTTGGGTTTGTTTTTATTTGATTTTTATATAAAACAACGCTTTCCTATTGGGAAAATATTAAACCCTTGTGAGCCATTTTTTGTACAACTTATACTATGCAAGTCAAGTTGTCTAGGATTTACCCATATCCAATCAGTGTTTTTTATTTCCCTGATTGGCTCGTCCATATTAGTCTGGGATTTATAATTAGACCGCGGGGCGAATGGGAAATAGATTACGCCTCGCCATCCGATTTCCATTTTACACCCACTCGTATTTAGCTGTAATGACATATTTTGCGGAAACACATGAGTCGACTTATCCCAGTACTTGCATCTTCTAAAGTGAAATTGGTTATTACCCTCATTTTATGATTCACATCACTTCTACCTAAAACTTAAAATTAAATGCCGAAATACATTTTTGTATTAAATTAGATTAAATTTTAATAAATATATCACATCCACATATTGATCATTAAAAATTTAGTTAGGATCAATTTTGCAATATAAATTTTAATTGTTATTCTATGACATTATAATTATCCCGTCTCGTGTTTGCGTCACCAAAATTATATAAATAGTCTTCTATTCATTTTGACTAATGTAATTTATTGAGTGATATTATGTTCTTCTTTCTTCTTACACTCTAAGTTACATCGCGATATTCGTCTGAACTCTGTTTTTTAATAAACACAAAGCCTTGCTGATTGTTAGCCGGTCTGGCACAATGTAATTTTGTGGAGATGTCATCCTGATAAAGATGTATTAACACCATTTGTGAATCATATTCTTTTGACTCACCTAGTTGATGAATTTTAGATAGAAGGTTAGAATACAAATAATTAAGTACTGCACATTTTTTGTTAGGAAGGTAATTATAAATGCCAAAAATTATCAGAAAGGGAGTTTAATGACACGTTTAAAACTACCTGGGCCTTTTCTATTGTCAGTGTCTTTTAATAACAACCCGGTACCATCATATTCTTAATTTTGTGGTGTAAAAATTTATTGAAAAAGTCATATTAAAGGCATAAAAGCTACTTTAATAAATATATTTTAATGGTTAAAATAACCTAGATTTTGTTATAATGTTTGTTTCTTTATATTAAATATTAATAAGTTTTGATAACATTTTACCAAAGGTCTAAAGCAGAAATTCAATTCAAATTTTGTTAGATATTCCTATCGTAAAATGGTGTGTATTTTAATTAGTATGTTTTGTCTTTGTTTCT